TTATATATAACAGGTGTTTTTTCTTCAATAGTTTTGTATTAAATCTTAAAATGTGGTTCTGTCTTCTGCTTATGGAGACTAAAGATGTGTCAGGTTGGATAAAGATTGGGCTTTTGCCTTAACGACCTTTTTTGACGTTCTCCTGATGTAGCATCTAGTGGTGGTCTTCTGCACCAGAGCTGCCTATTAATCTACAATCAAAATAATCAGGTTCTTCATCTCTCAATCATCAGAGTCAAAGGTGCTATTGACTTTGAAGCTGCAGAATAAGCTTGTAATCTGTGGGATGAAAAACGCCACATAATTATGATGGTTTTTTTTCTCCAATAAATGATTAATTGTGATTCTTCTTCAGGCATATTTTCTGGGGAAAATGTGACAGAAGAAAGTTCAATTAACTAATTTCAGATCAGCTGACTGTGGAGGATTGAGAATTAGGCTGTCAGACTGAGAACAAAGAGACATATTCTCCCCTCATCTGTAAAATTCCTTCTGGAGTGGTGTGGAACAACTAGCATAAGAGGAAATTTTAAAAGAAACCAGAGCTGATAAACCCTTTTTTTCCTTTTTTTCTGGTGTTCCCCCCTGCCCCATTCCAGTTGGGTAGGGACCCATCTCATGGTGTTGACAGGTGTACTTGCTAGATGTCAATTCAGGCAGCTTTCTTTTTATAAGTTTAATGTGGACAGAAAGTATGGAATAAAGGGAGTCATTAATTATTTCATTTCTAGCCCTGAAAGCTGCTAAATACATGTTTATTCATAAATACAGTCCCATTGACTCAGGCCAAATCACAGAAGGGAAGTTGAGCACGAAACGTTAGCATTCAAAAGGTTAGAGCTTTAGGGTGTGCTACCATTTCATGGGGTGCTGTAAAGAGCTTAAGGTTGTTTCTAACAGTTCAGTCCTACAGACAGGTTTTGTAAACAGACAAAAGCCCAGTTACATCCTTCAAAGACCAGAGCAATGAGGTTAAGGTACATCTGGTTGCATCGCTCTCTCATCTGAGAAATCTGTGTGGTCTTAATTTTACAGCAGACGGTCATTCAGCCACGGGAGGAGAACAGGCTAAAGATGGTTCACCAACAGCTCTGTTCAGAGGCTGGCAGTTTGCAAAGCCTTCTCTGCCTCCCGAGCTGAAAAAGCTAAATGGCAACACAGAGGCTGAACAGGTCAACAAGCATTTGCTGTTGAGAAGGAAGAGATCCATCCTGTTTCCCAGTGGAGTTAAGATCTGCCCTGATGAGTCTGTTGAGCAGGCTGTTGCCAACCACCTGAAGTATTTCAGGCTCAGAGGTGAGTGACTGTATGTACATCTCATGGGTAATTGATAAAGAACATCTCTCTATAAAAAAAAGCTTTAAATGTAATAAATACCAGGCTGTAAGAAATACTTCATTAACCAAGAAACTTAGTCTTCTGTGATCATCTTGCTTATGAGAGCTGCTCTGAGCTGAAAAAAAACCCAACTTCTGGTTGCACTCAAACACTTTTGATCTCTAAAACCACAGCTAGTGTTTAATGGCTACTTGTCCTTTCTCATAGAAACATTTGAATGCTAAGAAGAATAGGTGTTAGCTGAATGACAGAGCTGGTTATTTTTGTTTAGTGTTCTTTAAGTGCTAGTAGAATTCACTGAGGGATCATTCAGATATAAGAGTCAAGTCAGAGACTGTCTCAATCATGTGACATGACTATGGCTGGTTGTGCAGAGCATAGTATGGTCTGTCTGGAAAGCCAATCTCTGTGTATCAGGCTGTAATATAATAAAGGTGAAGCCTTTTAACATGTAGGAGTTGGTGTGACAGAGCTTTCTTTGGAAAGCTAAAATATTCCCTGTAACAACTGGTTTCGTGTGGTGAAATGTTACAGCAATATGATGTATTTAAAACCCTTCGTTGGAATGGGGTGCTGAGGTCATGCAGCACTTTCTGGTGTTTATGTGTGTCTGTAGTGTAGCATTTAAACAATTTATAGGGTCTTAACATATTTGCATGTAATTGGTGAAATGGGAAAGAGCTGCTGTCACTTAAAGAAAAGGAAAGGAGCTGCTGGCACCTGAGAAGGGAAGGTGTTCAGAGACTTAGGTTTAATGAGACTTTTTGATTACTTATAAAAGAAACTCCCACTGGTAACTCAATTTATTCACTTTGAGCAGTGGAAAACACTTAAATCCAGGAGTTGCTTAGTGTCTGTGTAAAAGTAAACATAAAGAATGTATTTGAAGAACAAAGTGGAGTTATATAGGATGAAGCCTCACTCGAATATGAATTGTGCCCAGTTTGTGAGGGACATTGACACTGATGCCTGTGCAGACAGCTTGACAAGGCTTTGCAAGCTCCTTGTCTATGTCCACCCAGTAACACTCAGCTGCTCTTTGTTTTGCTCAAACTGAGCCCACACTACGTGCTTTAGCTGGAGCCACCTCTCTGCTATGTGTGATAGGGGTGTGTAAGGGCAATACCAAGTAAGCAAAAGGTAAATCTGTAAAGCAGGTTGTAAAAGCACATTTAGAACTTAACCATCCTAGGTTGAACTAAAAATCTACCTAGTCCATCTGCTTCCCTACTGGACTACAGCTACTACCATCCACAAGGGTTTCCTGAGCAGAGATGCTATGGCAACATACATCTGGAGAAAAAAAATAAGTATTTTCTTATGCAGCAATTGCATCATTCAGTATATGAAAGTCTAAATAATGATTATTCAATGGTTATTGTGGCTGTTACACTAGGAGTCAGAAGCACTCACCAAGAATAAGGGTGTTCTTGCACTTTTTTCTCTACACCTGTAGTTCAGAAGACAGATTTCTGAAGTGCTGATTTATTCCTATGGTCCATCACATTGCAGTACAAGTTGAGTTTTGCATAGCAGAAGATACTATTTTCAGTCTTTTTTTGAGGTGAATCTGCAACTATGGTGGTCTTTGTACTCCTTAGTATGATATAGTCTCTGCATCTCTTAGAGCTGAGTATGGAAGTTGCTGCTGTTGGCTGGAGGCCCATGGATTTGGTCTTGCAGAGTGTTTTTAATGCATGTCCTTTTAAATGGTAGTGATATTATGGCTGCTGCTGGAAGAGTCATGTAAATGTAGTGGTGGTTTGTAGCTGGACTGTTGTGATGAACATGAAGTGTCCTATGGGAAGCTGGAAGTTTCACAAAATGGATTTTGTGGCAATCTAATAGTGGATTTCAGACATTGAGTGTGCTGCATATGGTAGTGTTGATTATTCATAATGAGGTTCTTTACTGCTCACAGGGAGGTGGTAGCCCAAACCCTTCTTAATTAAAAATTATTATATGAAGAATAGTCCTACCCACTCAGACCAAAAGTCTGTCATGAGAAGCCACCTTTTGCAGACAACTCAAGTGAATCTGCCCATTTCTTTTGTTGTAAATTGCTGGTAGATGGCTGAGGATTGTAGCAGACAAGTGGACTGTATTGTACTGTGTCATAGCTGACAAAAGACAAGTACATTTTGGAGCTTTGAAAAGCTCCATGAAAGACACTCCTTTGTAGTTACAAAAATATTACTGGGGAGAATAGTTTGTGCTAGAGTTCAGTGTGTTAGTGCTCAAAGTAAAAAATCTTTCCTGTGGATTAGCTAATTCACATTATTTTAATTTAAAATCCTGGTTTGTTGTGTATATTGTTTAAGGGTTGCTATGTTGTAGGTCACACAGAGCAGCATTTCAGCAGTAGAGTGATTCCTCTGCATGTCTGTGTGTCAGTTTAGTGAGTAGTAGCAACGTCTTTGCAGGAAAGATCTCCTGGGAGGTGTCTGTCAGTCTCCCTGTCACTGTAGTCCTTATTAAAGCTCACTGCAATTAAGCAATTCAGTTGTACAGAAATTTTTAGAGAGGAGAAGGAGCTGGCCTCAAAATAGACTATTCAGCCTGATTCAGTGCTCCTAGTCACTGTACATGGTTCAACTCTTAAGAAGCACTAATGGGATTTAATTGGGATTAAACTCCAGCACTGCCCACTTAACACAAATGGCCAGGAAGCCACCCTACCCCCTACTAGGTGCTGTCATGTGGTGCCCCTTCTGTTAACCTCAGAAATCTCTGAGCACAGACTGAGTGTAATAGGCTAATTGTCTCTCATTTGAGAGATAAATGCATCCTGAGTGGTCGAGCTAGAGCCAGAGACATTCTGTAGCCTACCCAGGTGCATGGGAGGTGGCCATACAAGAGAATTTCAGAGAGGGATCTATAATGAGATGATCTTAGCTGGTGGTTTTGAAAAGAATGAAGTCTTTAGGAAAGGAAGCTTCAAATAAACCTTTTTTCACTCCTTCCTGTAGATTCATAGGACTGAAAAGAACTTGTGCCTGCCTATGTGGAATTTTTTGGCTAAAACACAATTTATCTTAAGCTTTTCACTATATTCTCTATTATTTCCAGGTACTGCTTCAGTATAACACTGCATCTGAAGCAGATAACCTCTCAAGGGCTTGGCTTTTTGGCTTCTGGGGGAGATATGCTGGGATTCACATGGTCTTACTAAATGTCCAGCTTTCTGATGCAGCCTACTTAAAGACCTTGCCTACTTTAAGTGCCTATGACACTTCACCCAAGTGGAAGTTTGCAGAAGGACATGGGCCAAACATGCTCATCTTTCCATTTTTCCTGCCTCTTCTTTCACCCTGAAGGTGATTATCAAAGTGGTCAGTTAAGGGGCTTCCAGTTTCGGAGGCATTTTGGGGTTGAGTACATGCACAATGTAGTATGTGCATGCAAAATGTACTTTGGAGAAAAAAAAACCTGCAGAAGAAGCCATCTGGTTTGCATTCTTTGTTTGAATTCTGGTTTGTTGCATCAGTCAGTTAGAATGCCTTCTGAATATCTGCATCCTTTCCTGCAGACAGCTGGAATGATGGCATCTCTGTAGCAGGGAGCCTTTCTTTATCTCATAAGCCTTCCTTATTTTTTTTTAACATTGAAACTCCTCAGAGGAAAGTTACAAAGCAGCTGAGAGATCAGTTAACGCTACAATAAAAGGTATTTATTACTGCAGCCATGGGATGAAGGAAGTGATGTTCTAGAGGAGCTTACCTTCCCACCCACGTGGAGCCTCAAGGCTCTTAGCCTGCTGCCTTAAAAGATTGATCTCGATTTTATGATGCTTGTAATCAGCATTGTTTGGCAAGGATTAGAGGCCTCGTTGTAAATCCTGTCTCCTCCAGGGCCTGGTGTTGCTAATGCTGTCCCATATCTGTGCTCGTGGCTACCTCTGTAGCAGGCTAGTGAAAGTTTGGCATGAGATCTAACCATAGGGCTCTTCTCTCACACCCTGGGGGCTGATCTGCTGTTCAGGTGGCGTATGGCAGCACTACTGCTGCTGCTCAGAAGGTCCTTCCTCAACCTGGCAGGGCTGGCTGCTTGGCTGCTTAGTTTTTAAGGGGTTTGAAGCTAGTCTTAGAAACCTGATTTCTGGAAAGATCATAGAACAAAGCCTGTACAGCAGATTTATTTTACTTAATAGTATGTTATCACAGTATATTGTATTAAGTAAGCAGCTGCAGTCATAAATCTGAACTGTTTGCCCCCTGTCAATTTATTGTAAGCCATGTAGCTTTGAATTTTAAGTATAAAATGTTTAAAGTAGGTAAGGAATGGGAAAAAATTGCAGCATCAGAGCTTACAATAAATTGACAGGGGCCCAGCAGTTCAGAGTTATGACACTGATTTTCAAGAACCTTACTGGTAAACCTGTTTGCTCCATCTTCTTTCCTCCACCCTGGCTCTCATTTTTTAGTTTTTATTTTGGTTTCAGGGAGTTGCTATATTAAGCATTAGTCAAGAGTTGGTTCATTTATTGTCAGTGTATGTAGATAGTATATGTGGCACAGATACTGGAAGCTGCTGGAAAGTCAGAAAGGAAAGATAGTGAATTATTTTTATACAGTAAAATGTAGTTATTTACAGAAGCTTCCAGGCAAGTCTTGTAACTTTGTTTACATTTTTATGTCTCCAAGTTTTGTCTACAGAATCTCAGAATGCTTCTAATCTAGTTATGAAGAACATATTTTTCTTAGATGTCGGCTCTCAGGAATTTATTTATAAAAGACTTTGAAAAACCTCCCTCATCATCAGAGACAAAAACTTGCTGTGGGGGTGGGCTCCACCTTCAAGTTAAAAGGTTAATCACATTCATCAGGGGATTCGGATGCACTGTGGCTGTGGTGCCTCTTCAGTTCCCTTGATGGCCACTTCAGTGAAGTCATGAGAAGAACTGTTCCTCTCTTTGAGATACCCTGGCCTCCCAGAGTATCCAAATTAACACACTCAGACTACCTGGGAGGAAGAAGTGTGCCAGCTTTTTCCTTCTGAATACAGAGGCAAGTTGCACCACGTTGTCCACCTTGTTACTGCTCACCGTGGTGGAAGCAGTTAGATGGGACACAGCCCTGAGAAGACAACATGGGACTTCTTATCTGTGTCCCCTTTCCTCCTTCCACAGAAAATATGACCCTGTTCTGACAGCTTAGGTCTGATTAATGGGCTTGGAGTCCACAGATGGCACAAAGCCTTTGGGACTAGAATTCAGTGGGGTGTCTAATTCCAAATGAAAGGACACACAACAAATCCTTAATCTTTTGGGAGCTGATTGGGACAACTGTTCGTACAGCACCAGCTTGTATTTAGACAGTGTGTCATCACATTTATTTTTGAAACATAGATTAAAGTTATTTAAAAGCCTTAAGGAGTATTTCCTTCAATTAACAACTGTTCGTACAGCACCAGCTTGTATTTAGACAGCGTGTCATCACATTTATTTTTGAAACATAAAGTTATTTAAAAGCATTAAGGAGTATTTGCTTCAATTATTTCTACTAATTACTACTTGCAGCTGTAAAAAACAGTACTTTGCTTGTTGCTATTTGAAAACTCTAGAACTGGACAACTGCAATTGCCCCTGCAATGTATTTGCAAACTATTTTCCATAGCTTCAACTCTTGCTGATAGCCTGCTGAAGAATTACCCCAGCTACAGGGAATAATCCCACTGCAGGATTGTTGTTGTACAACGTGGCACCTGAAGTGAAAGAACCATTGGTCAGAATGAGAGAGACAAGTACTGCCAAAAGAAATGAGAGCCAGTGATGTTCCTTAAGTGTAGGCTTCTGGATTTGAAACTAGACTGTGGTCTTTTCCTGGATGTCCAGCTTTTATGAGTGGGATGGTAGAGAGGCTACTACAGATGTCACTCTGCTTCAGGAAGCTTATTAGCACTCCAGCAGGATCCAGAAATCCCAGAGCAGGATTATGGCTTCCTTGCCTGACATCTGTGCAGAGGTACTATGGAAATGTGGTCCCTGCCTCGAAGAGTTTGCTACCACAGCAACTGCAAAAGCAAGCATAGCTTGACAAGGAACTTGAGAGGGTGCATGGATGCTTGTAAATTTGGCTGCAATGACTGCATTCTTCTCTAGTCACACATATCAAATGAGCTATGGGGCTAGTATCCATGCAGGAAAGCTGTCAGGAATGTGGCATGGAAATGAGAGGTATCTGTAGAGTTCCATAAAGGAGGAATGGTCTCAACTGGTCTGACAAACTGAAATTTGGGGTGGAGAAAAAAGCATGCCAAAATTAGCTAAGCTTTAAAGGGTACAGCTGCATGTGAAATGGTTCCTCAAAGCCTTTGCATTAAAGGAAAGTGTCCATCTCTTGGCTGAATGAAAGTTTTGTTTCCATGTGTAATCCATGGCCAAGTTTTGCACAAGTACATTGACTCAATTTTGGAATTCAAAATACAGCGTCTCCAGAAGGAACAGTAGGAAAGTACTGGAGCTTATTTTTAAGCAGATGGAAGAAAATGACTTTCCAAAGATAGATTCATGGCCAGCCTCCTGTAGGGTCTTGCTTACGGTGTCAGGACTTTCCCTGAGTGCAAAGCATTCCTCTGCTGAAGCGGGCGTATCCCTAAGCGGTGAGATCCGATTAAAGCCAAAAAGCAGGTTTGTCTGCTACTACCCCAGGCTGGCATCTGCTGCCAGTGGCTTTTAGAGTTGTTCTCCTTTTAACGTGGTTCTCTTCCAGGACACAGGGAGGATCCTGGAAATCTTCCTCTCTTCCAGTTAGGCTGGGTCACAGAAAGGTTCTTGCTTGAACGTTGTGTGACCAACTGCTCTGATTGGCAAAGAGCACGTCTGAGACTGGAAGGTTAAAGCATCTAGTGTAGAACAAGATAATTTAACCCTTAATTTGCAGGCTGTCTGTTCAGGCACAGGTGTCCAGTTCTTTCTCATTGCATACCTATAGTAGCACTAAAAATTGACTTTTTTCTTAGCATATTATGCTAAGAATTATAAGGATTATTAGGAGCTAATATTACTAGGAAATATTAGGATGTTGTGTCAGCATCCTGCCCTGGTTTTCAAATTATTAATGCCATTAAAATTTCTGAAACTTATTTTAAATTCTGTGCAAAGTCCAAGGGAATTGTTACTGACTGAGCCTCTAAAACTTTGATCTGTGCCACTATAATTTTTATAAATTAAGCTCTAGTTTTACTTTTTATGAGGACGTTTGCCTTAATATTTTGGTTTTCTAAATGACTAGGTTTTCTAAACATGCAACCTATTGATCAAGTGATCAGTTCTGCTCGTTGAAAATACTGTTGGTTTTGATGGCTTTTAGGAAATAAGCGTGCTCTCTCTTGCTCTCTTTTTTGCTTTAATGAAATAAATAATCCAGTAAAAAAAAAAACAGGGATGGGAGTCATATGAATGTGGAAGATCCTCCATATTTTCATTGTCAGTCCCTTCAACGCCTTACACATTTGCATGTAGGTGTCTAGCCACTGCATTCTGTGTGTTGATGTTCTGGACAGCATACAACATTGGGGCAATACCATCCTGGGCACCCATGCCATGAGAGAGCTCCTCTTGTACTGACACCAGGTGTACTAACCCCTTTCTTGTGCCTTCAGTGTGTCAGGAAACAGTCTGGGAGGTCTTCAAGACGTTCTGGGATAGACTGCCAGAGAGAGAAGAATATCACACCTGGATGAGCCTGTGTGAGGAAGGAAGGATGAGTATCTTTGAAATGGGCATGAACTTCAGCCAGTCGGAGGAGCACCGCAATCTGATTGTGAAGGTGGGTGCAGCACCTGCTTGGGGTTTTCTCATGAGCAAGGGCATAATGTCCCACTGCACTGTGCATCTTGGTGTGTGGGGTGGTGGCATGTGGAGCCCTTCAAATGGACAGGCAGGAGTACCTCAGCTCTTGGACCTGTAGCTCGGAGTTCAGTTCCAAAAACAAAGTTGTAGCTGATCTGATGGAGGGAAAAGCAACGATGATGAAGGGTTGTCTTTGATAGGTATGTTCCTGACAAGTAGATAATGTCTAGACCCCTTGTCTGAAAAGGCAGCATGATATGGGGGCAACTCACCACAGCCTGTCCCATGTCATGTAGCAGCCTTCCTTCTCTGAGCTGCCCATGGAGATGCCTTCGGTCCAAACAGCACTCATTGAAACAGAAAGTTTTGAGGTGTATATCTGATGTTACTGAGATTGGTAAGAGGGCAGAATTACCTGTTTGAGGTTTGTGAGGTCCGTGCACTGCAGCCTGGCTGAAATGAGTGAGGCTATAAAGATAAAAAGTTTTGGTGTCCTTTGAAAGCGGTTGATAACATTGTCACCATGGGGGAGTTGCACAGGTTAAAATCAGAGTAGGAGCATCAAACAATTTAATAACAAATTGCTGAATATCTTGTTATATTCTCTGTTATTTCACTTGAAGCAAGCTTATTTTAGCTGAAAGCAAATAAAAGGAGCATTAAAGTAAACTAAAGAAGCCTATGTCAAATGAAATATAAAGTAGCCTTTTCAGGTGTTTCTGAATTTTAAAATCAAGTGCTTAACTTTCTACACATCTAAGATTCACAAGATATCTATCTTAATTTCTCTGGATAAAAGGTGGTCTTAAAATGTGGTTTATGGAGCTTCTTTAAGATTACAATATCCTCCATTTTTTTGCAAGCTGGTGCATTAATAGTTTTATGAAGCCTATGACATGTCTTGAAAGTCTGATGCTGTAGAGTCAGTAATGTTCTGCTAGTATGGATGTGCTGACATTTTTCCTTTCTGCTGTTTTATGGACTCCAATGCTAGGACTGGGCACCAGGGAATGAGAATATGAAAACTGAAGTGGATGATGGAGAGAGGTTTATTTTCTGAGCCTGCATGTTAGTCTTCACATGTGGATGCCAGTCGAAGTTTGCCTCTGGGATGTCTGATAGTATTTGTTGTCCTCACACTGCAAAAAGATGGAGGCAAAATACACAAGAACTTTTTATCTGCACAGTGGATGTATCGTTGCTTCATGTAGGAATTTGGCAGTGAGATGATCTCTGTAGTGGGAGCTTATTAAAAGAAATCAAGATGATTCTTAGGAGCAGGATAATGCATCTGGCTTGCTGCTGCTGCTGCACCTTTTGGCTATGGCCTTTCAGCATTACAGGGCAGTCAGATAAAGTGCTCTGTGTCTGATGATTTATTCAGTTGATTTATGTGTAATTAGGTTTCCTTTCTCCTGTAGATGGATACATTTCCTTCAGCATAGCAATATTCTGGATGAAGACTCTTCATCCGTCCTTCTATTAGTTTTCAGCACAGTTGGTAACACATGATGGTTGTTGGGCTGATTTGATGGGAGACTAGTTTAAAGTCAGGTTGAATGCTGTCATGACTGTGCTCCACAAAATGTCACCAGTCTACCAGGTGACTTTTTTTTGAAATAAAACCATGAACTCAATTTAAATTTGAACCAAAGACTGAAGGCAAGAGCACTCTATCCCATCCCCCAGTCAGCCAGTTTCATCAGGTCTGATGGTGTATTTTTAAATGCATAGGTCAGAGTGTGGATTTAATTGCTAGCTCTAGCACTGACTCACTCTTTCTCGTATGTGCTTATGCACAAAATGCTTGTCAGTGTGAAACCTCTTTAAAGCAACTCTGAGGATATTAACTCCAAACAGATGCAGTGGCTATGACTCTGCTTTTAAGAACCTCCTCCCTCCTGCTGGTTGCTTACTCCCATCTGATGTAGTGCTAAGAGCTGGGGCTCAGCCTTTGGAGCTGAGCACACTTTCTAAAGCACTGTCCTACCCTCTTGTACTTCTTTCACCAGCTAAGCTGACCAAGTTGCATGGCCAAGCCTTGCCCTTACTTGTGGGACTTTTTTTTTTTTTCTCTCATTACAGCATGTTCATTTATTTGTTCATGGTCAGCTGTCACCTTTGTTTTTTCAGTGCTTTGGTTTGAGCTGTGACGTGCTGAGCAGTTCTCACCAAAACACTGCCATCATTATCCAGTATGCACAGTGCCCTGCAATCTGTGTGCATGACACATGTGAATAGTCCATGGTCTTAGTTGCTTAAAAGCACAGCTCACTTCTACCTGGCACTGTAGAGAAGCAGCATTTGTGGCTGCTTGTAGTTTGGCCATTACATACCTTGTGCTCAGGGGTAGTTCTTTGTCTGGCCATTACATGCCTTATTAAATTCCACTTCTTCCTAATCTCCCTCTGCTCTCCAGTGGCTGTGAATCATCTGCAGTTAATTTCAGGAGTTTAGTTTAGAGCCTGCAGCTGATCAAAGAATTTCTGCTTTTCTTTTGGTATATATTTGCTGTTACTGCCATGGCATTGATCTGCTGCCTCTTCTGTGTTGTACATTTTGGCAGTTTCTGGGAGCCTTATTCTAGAGTGTCATTCTGTGTTGCTTTTTGGTGGATAGCAATATGAAATTCAGTTCTTAGAAGTGCTGCATGCCATGAAGTTTTCTTCTCTCTCGACAGGAGTTCAGCATATTTGAAAATCAGGAAAAATAAATCTGTGGGGTTTGCTCTCAATAAATAATTCAACAAAAAGATTGCTTACATGTTATATACTTGCCAGATTTTGAGAAGGAAGAGATTAACAGATTCATGCCCACCTTAAAATATTTTAAATATTTTTTTTTCCAGAAAAACACTTTTATTTTATTTTCTATGTGATTGTGTTAAATGAAAGTATTGTACGTAGGAATATTAACTAATTTATTTGGAAATTAAGTAGATTTAGGAAGTGTGGGATTGTTATCCTTCCATCTCTTTTCAAATCTTGACAGACGTGGAAAAGGAGAAGGTAATTGTAGTCCAAAGGAAAGTGTTTCTTGCAGTATATTTCTTCTTATAAACCTTCCTCATAGAAATTAACTCAGCTTGTGTTCCTTACTGTGTAGCTGTATTTCAGGGGGAGTAGAATTCTGTATTATGTAGAATGTCCTTATTCATCCCATCCACATGCTTGTTCTAACACTTTGGGCCACGTGTGTCTAGAATTCTGATATTGCTGAAACTTGCCCCAACTCTGCCCTGTGGCCGTGTTCACACTTGGGAGAAGCACAGGCAAAAGTAACAACTGATTTCCTAGAAGCATTTTACTTCTTGCTTTGAGACTGAAGCACTGCTGACAAATCACCTGAGATAATTGCTGTGACCTTTCTGTTTATCAACCTGCTGAAAGCAAGCAAAGAGGCCCACTGATTTCCATGACTTTGTCCTTGTTCTGTTGGTCAGTTAATTTGGGGCCATCTTTTAATTCATCAAAGTCCTGACACTTGATGTTTTACAGTTCCTAGAGAATTCAGGAAATTTAGTTTTTACAAAGAGACTCTAATAGAAGTTTGAAGTAGGTGGACCCTCATCTTTCCAATACAAGTAGAATCTCCTTCATGAGTCCATTCCAAAATGCAGCTTAAAGCATGATACTGGAGTGCTCCCATCATAAAGTTCTGTGTGGGCATGTAAGAGGGCAAATCCACCCTTTGTGCCAGAGGACATGTCCAAATCTCTATTTCTCCAAACCTCAATCAATTTCAGGTAATCAGGTTTTAATGAGTTGAGTTTTTTAGCTGAGTTAGCTGTGGAAAGGAGTGTGTAGCACAGCTTTGTCTGAGCACTTAGTAATGTAGAACATGTGATTTTGCCTAAATTCTGAGCTGTGCTCGAAGGGGGGGTGTAGCACATAGTGGTACATACACAGTGTAGTGATGATGTGAGTCATTTCTAGCTGTTTACTCCTGGTGCTGTAGTTTCTGACCACCTCATGAAGTAGATGATTTTGTCTTCCTTAAGGTTCCTGAAGCAGAAAAACCTCTTCTGCTGTCTCTCTTCCTGTTCTGTGATGTTCCTTGCTAAACATTGTCTTTTTAATGTTTAATCAGATGTTTTAATCACAGTTTCCAGTATCTTTTTGATTGCTGACTGAGATACATTAACATTTTTTTCTTTCCATGGAACATCTCTGTTTTCTTCTAAATCTGGAAAAAAGCAGATCTTGTCTGTTCTTTCACACCCTCCATCCCTTCTTACAGATACAAGGAAAATGTCTTCTGCTGCTCTCCTTTGAGCCACTAGGTCAGATTTCCTTCACCCCCTTTCTTATCCCCACACTTACTATTCTCCTGCAAATTTTAGCCTCCTCTAACTGAAAAAGAAAAACAAACAAATCCTCAGACCTTCACTACATATATGCAAATAGATTAGTTAGCTCCAGTTGCTTCTCCCAATCTTGTCTCATCTTCCTTTCATCTCTTAAACTCTTTCTGTGTTCATTCTCTCTGGTCACTCTCCTCCAGTTCCAGCCTAAATATTCCTTTTCAATCTGTTTTACAGACATCTGGCATAGCACAAAAACTATCAACCATGAAGCCTCTGCTCATCTCTTTCCAGGCAGAGCTCCGAATGGATGCTTCATCCTCATCATCCTTGTCTGATCAGCTCCTTTCCTTTGCAGATCTCCAGTTTTTCTTGTTTTCCCTGCTTTGCACCTCATTTCTAGATAGCACTGCCTAACACATGCTGAAGCATCACTTCTATGTTGAGTTCACCTCTACTGTGGAGCTGATTACTCCTGAACAGATGGCACCCTTAGCTTGCTTCTGACACATTTCCATGGATCTCTAACCTTCATTTCAAGCTGACACGATTGAAACAATTCCTATTCCACTAAGCTTTCCCTGCTGTCTCTCCTTTTAGTCACTGGAGACCATATTTTCACCTTATTTGTCAGGGCTGTGTCTCAGAGCACTACTCTCTGTTCTGGCCTTTTCCTCCATCTTCAGTTCTGGACATTGTCATCCACCTCCTCAAATTCCCCCCAGTACTTTGGCCTTGCCTTCATGACATTGTGGTTCTCCTGAACACCAGGGTGGGGGAATCAGGACAGACAAAGAGAGAAGAGTTTCTTGGTATGACTTCCCTGTTGGAAATGTTGTGTACACGTGGGCTGAATCAAACATGCTTGCTACAGTCCTACACAGACAGGATTAAACTAATATGAGATTATTGAAGATCTCCTTGACATTTCCTCCACCTCCAAGATATTTTGTCTTCTGTGCATAACGATCATCTCTTAGGATCAGACAGGAGTATCCTACATAAGTGCTTTTCTGCAAGGTCACAAGTTTAACAGAATCTCATCCCTCCAGTCAGTACTGCATGGGATTTGTGGCATGGTGGTAGCCTCTATTTAATGTTATGGAATCTTAATAACTCATGGTAATTTTGCATGTGGTCTGTTGAGAGGGATTTGTGGCATGGTGCCTCTATTTAATGTTATGGAATCTTAATAACTCATGGTAATTTTGCATTATGTAAAACTGGCTGTTGAGAAAGGGAAGTGCTACTGCAAATGACACAAAACTCAGGGGGGGAAAAAGGTGCCTGTTTGCCTTGAAATTCAAATGTGTCAGTGCTTGCCCCCTCCCCAGGCTGGAGTGCAAATTAGTTGTTTAGGAGGGAGGAAGGCAATCACACCACAAACATTGTAGTGTGGCATTGCAGACAATGCCAGCTTTCCTTTTGCTTCATTTTCACATTCTCAGCTGAAAAAGCCCAAACATTTAACATTATCAAAACCCAAGCCTTATTTCAGTCTGTAGGATTGATACAAAATGTGTGAATATATTTCAGCCCTCTGTAGGCAGTAAGAAATTGAAGACTGGGTATTGAGATCATACTTTCCTTTTAAATGTACTGTAAAAGCTAAGATTTTTACCTGCTACATAAAGCTGGAGGATGATAATAATTTGGAGTGTGATAATAATTTATGTGCAAGCTTTGCATTGCCATATGGGGTTTAATAGCTGCCTAATGATTCTTTAAAGTAATAATTTGACATTTCAGGTTTGGTTCTTATTGGTTTGTCTAGTAATTTATTGACTAGAAGACTTGGAAATAACAAGACATACTAGTGAAGTCCTGGAACCCAAGCTCAGGAAAACTGGGTGCCACCAGCTCCTCAGGCTGTCCTCCAACAGAGCTTTGTCCAAGGCTGCCCTCAGTGGGATTGTCTCTGTTGCTTTGCTGTGTGAAATGATCAGGACTATGCTGACCTCTGCTGCCAGTGGCCTTTGTGGAGCAGGGAGTACATCTGCTGGGAACAGACTGCCAGGTGGTATTAAAAAGATCTGTGGGGACCCTAATCAAGTTGGTTTTTAGTAATAGCACCTATAAACTGCATTGAGTGACTGAATATGGAATAAAATCTCTTTATCTAATGAACAAACATCTTTATGGGCTACTACTTACATATAACTTTCCAACAGTTTGTACAGGGGAGATCAGTCTCTCTATTCCTTGCATGTCCCAGCTCACTAAAGCTGAGTACAAATATAGTATAGAGCAGGGTAATGACCACTTAAAAAAATTACCCAAAATCCAGTATAATTTTGGTAGCCCTGAGTTAGACTTTTCCCCGTGGACTCTCTGCTCTCGATAGTTTCTTTGTCACTTAAAATTGGTCTCACTGCATCTTAGTTTTTCATACTAAAGTATCTCCAGATATTACATTTAGTGGACTTGTACAATAAAGGTGGGTCAAAGGACGTGCTAAAAAGCAAAGTGACTGAAACAAGTATTTTGGCAAGGCCTTCTCAGGCTGATAACCAGGCTGCCTGCCATTCTAGCTGTGATCACACTTACTGTCCACAGGTGTCCTGGAAAGAAGAGAAAGGTCCTCACTGATGTGGCTCCAGATCAATACAGACTGAACTTCTACACTTCCTTAGAAACACAGGTGAAGAGAATGAACAGATTAGCCTGCTCAAAAAGTCTCTTTAGGCTTTTCACCTCTCCTTCATGAGAAGAATCATCAGGATAGCTTGGATTGACAGTCCTTAGGTCATTAAATATATATGGGTGTTTTGCAGAGAAGTTTTCAAAGTGGAGATAGTATCTGCTAGGCTTATTCTCATTTAACTTCAAAGTAGATATTTGGGTTTATGCTCTATGGGTTGAGTTTTAACTGAAAAATATATCTGCATTCATTATGTAAAGCCAGCCAACCCAATAAGCAAACCTTCAAACATCCCTTTTCCTCCCAAACCAGAGGAAGTAGAACTTTTGTGGCTAGACAATAATCTTCTTTAAGTATTTTCTGTTTTGTTTACATTGATACAACAGCAGGATCCAGCATTATTCCTCAACAGCTATCATGCTACAAACTGCTCAGGATCTCCTCCACTTCTTGTGGGTTTCCTCACAAGCTCCTGTGACTGCTCTCTTAGAACCAATGGCACTCTTTACAGCATCTGTGGTTGAGTTTCAGTTGCATTTTGGAAATGTAAGATGGATTTTCTTTTCAGCAGGGACTTTGTAAATACGTTTTGCATTCAACAAATGAACATACAACAAAGAAAAGAAACTTATTTTGGCACAGGGGAGGAAACAAAGTGGTATAAACTACATTTCAATTCCTTTCACCTTATGATACTCAAATGTACTTAGGATTTGTTTGTTTGTTTTCCAGAAACTGTCCTATGCAAAGGAAGCAATGGGCAGGTGAGTATCTGTTGTTTGCACTGTGTTTTATTCTCTCTAGAGCCAACAGGCAGAGCTGAGTTGTGACATTTCAGAACCTTTTCTCTCTTTTTCTTGTCAGCTCCTGCACTGACTGGTCATGTGGGTAAGTACTTTTCACTTTTTAAAGGGTCCTTCTGCTGCTGGAGTTGATTCATGCACTGAAGATGAACAAAATTCACCTCTGTGCAAAAGGGCGAAGAGAAAAGGGTGGTGGAGAAATCCTGTGGTTCTTGCATGTGAAGCTTTGTCCTGGCATGCTTGGCATGCTCAAAATATCTCAGCCAATCCTGAGGCTTGTACTTTTGCTTAAGTATATCATCACCTTGTTGGCCATTAGGCACAGATGCAGGCTATTTACCTGGAGAGGTTTAGTGGGGGAAATCTATTTTGAGAAAGAGATATGTCCATAGTTACTTGTCTTAGTGTTCTGGTTATCTTGTAAACCTTTCCCAAAGGCTTCAAGGCAGTCCTGGTCATCATTACAAAAACAAAAAAAAAGTGGAGTGCTTTTGAAAAAAAAAAAACCTTTTGAGATATGTGCTTTAAAAACAGTTGCAAGAGAATTGGCTGCTTGGGCTCCTCACACTTTTAACAAGGTGATAAAATGAAAAATTAATCCAAATCTTGGCAGCTTTTTACCAAAGCAAACCTGAACTTGACCTCTTATTTCCATTTCTCTTTTGAACTGAAAGGAAAATCAGTTCAAATTTTTATTCCTCAGAACTTAATCTACGATGTTATTTTTAGAGCAATTCAAACCCAAACAACCTAGTGCTGAACTCAGCTGGAAAAACTGGCAGGCTCACTTCCCTGCTTTACAGGCCACATAAATTTATCATAAATACAGGAGTAATTAATTTACTGAAAAAGTAATCACTTAACAAACTTTAAAAACAAAACAAAACTTCCCATATTTGGTATCCTCATAATTATTTCATAACCACAACATTTTATATTAAAGTTAATAACATGAGGCAATAAGGAGAAGAGTGATTCCTAAGAGAGTGGTTTCTCTCTGTCCTGTTGGGCTGAACATTCCTTTGACAAGAACAGCCCCTGAAGCCTCCAGGTCAACTGGGTAGTGTACATGTTCAGAACTTTTCCTGTTAAGAATGCAACACTGGCCAAACTTTTTATTTTTGGTGATGTTTTTCTTTTTTCTGAAGAGAAAATAAATTGCAAAGACAAGATTTTGTTTTTTTTTTAAACTTTCTGGGACTGATTTTTTTTTTTTCCCCCAAGTAGCATTAATCATTCTCTAGACTGGCTCTTTACATGAATGGAATCATATCTTGTTTATCAGAAAATGTGAATTCAGAGATACAGTTATCTAAGTTTGAATGCTGAAGACTGAAAGAAATTCTCCCTTCTGAAGAATGCTGAGTTGGAAAACCTACTGTATTCCTTTATGTGATCATTCAGGAAATCTAGTAAATGTAGAAATGTAAGAGAAGAATTAGTCAACAGTAATCTAGTGTCACTGCATACAGTGGGCTAAACAACCTAACAATGCAAAAAGCCCAACATTTGATTGAAAGGTGGATCAGAGTGATTTATGTTGTACTTGTACAGAGTCCATCTGATCAAGTGCTTTAAGACAGGCAATAGAGGGGCTCCAGAAGAAAAATTGGCAAGCTTTACTCAGCTGAATTTACTGTGGGGCTTTATTGCATCTCTTTCAAAAATACACTGCTTTTATCTCAGTGTGTTACTTCAGATTGTTTATAGCTTTAGAATGGGGTCTCTGTTATCACTGTCAGTTTAAGCTTTGGTTTTACTGTACCTTTCCTTGTTGTTTGTCTTGTGCTTGGATATGATAGTGTTTTATTGCATAAAGAAAGGGATACATGCCTGAAGCAATGAGATAGGAACAGGTAGATTTGCTGTGGGTAATGGAGCATCAGGAAGAAATTAATACTGTACATTATTTGGGCAATATTAAAAAACTCAAAAAGCCTTCTGGACATCTTAGAGCATTCATGGTTCAAGACATGAAGTTTGCAAGCCAGGGTCATATGAAAACAAAGCCATGATTTGCTTTCATGGGTAGAAGATGTCTCACCCACTCCTCTTGATGTTCTATCAAGAGGAGTGGGTGAGACATCTCAGTATTGCCAACAGCCAACACTATTTCCTGCAAAAAAATATACCAGACCTCCCAGTACACATCAGAATAACATTAAGACCTTATTAAAATGTTGTGTAAGAAGTCAAAGTACCCACCCTGGGATCACCCCCAGCCCCTAAGTCCCAGTGTGGGAAGTCCAGTGTCAGGTCTCCCCTGCACAGGAGGAGATGTGAGCTGGTTCTGCCATCTCCTGGGCAGTGCTGCTGTCACCTGCTGACCCAGATGTGCAGAGAGAGGCTGGCCCAGCGCAGGGCAACGCTGGGATTTGAGTGTGTCTGTCTCAGCTCTGCCATCTGTGTCAGAACAGGGAACTGCCCTGCTCTCCTGTCTCAAGGGACAGCAGGACTATCCTAAAGCACCAGCTCTGGGTGCACCATGTAGATGAGATGCTCAGGTGAGGCTCCACACTGCCAGGGAAGGACAGGCTTCTCCAGGGCAGGCAGGAGTCTAGCAGAGGTGCTCTGATTTGTCCTCTGGTGGACTCTGGTTTCTCTGTTGAATGTGCAGGAGCAGTCATTTCATTTTGGAGGCCTGGCACTAGGCATATTTCTCAGTCTGTTTTCCCACTGATAAACAACATAAGAAAATTGGAAGTAGGTTTTTCTTCTGGAGCATAGCCCAGGCACAAGAAACTAAAAGACTATTTTCCTTTGATGAGCTTTGACCAATCTTGTTTTGCTGTGATAATTGTTTCTGTGAAATGATTTCTTAATTTGGGGCTAATCTGGAATGGAAGACAGGCCCTTGATATCTGTTGGTCATTTTAACTGCACTACCTTTCTAGATTAAAGCAGTGCTTAAAGCTATAAACAGCTGTAGAATTGAAACTGTGACTTAAATAATGCAATGCATCTCATGTAATCTTACCTGGATGTCAATACTGTGTGTCTAGCTAGCTAGAAAAAGCTGGTTCCAGTGACTTAAATGCTAGGATAGTTTTAGTGTAGCCTACAGAAAGGTGGCTTGTACTTGTGTAATTTATTTCCCAGAATAACTCTCAATCCAGCATTACGTAACAGCAGGATGGGGGTTTGTTCCCACGAGGCTGGGGCATGCTTTCATGTAGGTTAAATGCTCACGTATATTACATGCTAGCCTGGCCTTTTATGGAGCTGCAGAATTAGCCTAAGTACCACTGAGGGGGAAACCTAAAAGGAAAAGTAATGTGTGACATAATCCAGATGTGTATAGAGCATCCCCGTGGACATGCTAGAGTTTTGCCTAAGTTGGAAGTGTGGAAGCACTGCATCAGCTCAAGACTTTTAATGATTGCTTTATTCAGTAGGTCACTGGGACTTTGCATAAAGAATTTTGCTCTCTTAATATTGGAGTATGTCTCATGATAATAGGACAGTCATTTTGTCTAATTCCTGGGGAGTCAAAAGGCAGATTTTGAGAATCAATGGGAGACAGAGGAGTAGCACCAAAGTACTGCAGTAGAAAGCTAGAGCTTTTATTTCATAGCCTTGCTTGAGTGCTGCATGCACAATAACATAATTAAGAAAAGGTAAGAAACATGGGGCAGTTGAAAAGGATGAATATAGTGCACTACTTTTTAACTTCTTCAGAAGTGGCTGTTATGTCAAATGAAATAAATAGAAGCATGTGTCCTTTCTGACTGGTACTCGTGGATTCCGGACTCACTGAGTCACAATAAATCATGTCTGGACCTCCTTTGTTCTGTCTACAGAAACACACTGAAAAATGTATTTTGTAATACATTTCAAAATACATTTTTCAATGTATTTGAAGTACATTGGCAAACTTAGGATCCATATTTCATCAGTGGTGGACACAGTGGTTGATAATGTATCAACTCAAATTTTGTACCATTTGTCTAAATGGGCTTTATGAAAGAAAAAGAATTTGTCATCTGGGTTGGGATCATTTCAGCAGTTCTGCCTGCAGTGAAGTAGAAACATACCTGAGCTCCTTTACTGTCTGCACGTGGACTTGGCAACAATACTGCTCATCTCAGAAACTTGTGAGCATCTACAGCTTTATCCCATGTGAAGAGTTCCACACTGCTGCTCTTCAGTTGTGTGTTTTCTTCTGTGCTCCCTGCTTTCAGGTAGCAAATATGAAACGTTTGTCCTGCTTTAAATCCAATCAAGAACTACCCAGATGAAAATTAAGATAAATGGAAGTATAATTTTAAAATAAAAGAATTTGAATACAAGACTCAGTCTTGCATTCTGTCCTTGTATAAAAATACTTCTGAAGTTGCTTGCTTACTTTTTCAAGGACATGTGATTTAAATATTTAAAAAGGAGAAAAATCAGGTCATAAAATGGTTTTCCCTTCCTTGTGCAATATGAGCACTGAATAATAATACTTAAGAAAAAGAAATGCTTGACATAGCAAATTAGGCTTTATAGGACATTCAAATGGATAAACAAGGCTATTAACCATTGATAAACTGGTGGATGTCCAGAACGTGTAGTACAAAGCTGAAGGTGTTAACTTCTTCAACCACAGAGCTGAATTTGTGTTAAACCTTGAGTATCATAGTGAAAAATGTAACTAATACCTCTGCAAAATGTCATGAGAGGTGCAGTGGTATCACTGATGCCCCATTTGTCAGGTGAAGAGTGATATTTCTCCTTAATAATACCATATGGCTGCACATAGAGAACTTGTTTGGACTCTACAGTTGCCTGTGAGTCAATGGGACTCTGTGCATGCTTTGGTGGACTGGAACCTATCGAGTCTTCTTCTGGCATGACTGATGTCATGAGGTTTGAAAAAGGGGAATATAGGCTCTATTTGTGAGCTGTTTGCTGTAGAGAAGCACTGTTTGCTTCAGATCAACTTGGGGGTCCCTTGTGGGTCTTATCTTACATCTGCCTAAATCCTCCATGATCTGAAACTGGTTGTTTCTGCCAAGGAAACACAGCGTAGTGTTGTTCATTCTGCTGCTTAGACATCTGCTGCTCTATATTCCTTCCTGCCTCTCCATACATATGTGTATGTTTTTTATATTTTGCTTACTGCTCAGCCAAGGTGATCCAGGGCATCACTCGTGCAGGTAGGACAACAGAAATTACATTTCGTGTGTGTGTACCAAATTCACAATAAGCTCTTGCTGGATTATAGTCCCTCCACCTGGAGTGGCTTGCTTGTGTAGGTATAGTTAAAAATAAGGCCTAGGCCCTGGAATAAGCCTGGGGCAAATAAAAATCCCTTATATTTTAAATAACTGTGACTGAAGGGGAATTTGAATCTGTTTACCTTGAAGAGCAGTGTCTTCAGGGAAATCAGTATATGCGTTGTCATGTGCTTTTTGAGTGGCTTCCTTAGAGATACTTAGCACTGTTGCTGCTTTTTTAGGTGATTAGTGAAGCAGGCACTTGAAGAAATTAATACAGGAATTAATAGAGGAACTAGAAAGCAAAAAGAAATGGATGCAAAAAGAATGCAAGCCCCACTATCTTGGTAAGGCAATGAAAAAACAGCATTGTGCATAAAAGGAGGTCGATCATTACAGTATTTTTATCCTCCTGAGAAAAAGTGATCACTATTAATTTGACTGAATTTGGTATTTGACTGGTCTTAGCTGCTTATATTGATTAGAATTTTACTAGGTGTTGCTTAAGCCTTTGGGTTTTAATTTTCAGCCAGATGGGAGCTGGAATTTTCTCAGAAAATTGATCATCTCTTGGGGGCTTGTATTTAAAAGCCCCTCAGTGCCATTGAGAATGTACCACCTAGCTTTGAGAAGAGCTTGGCCTGTTGCTGCTTAGGATGGTGGGATTGCCATGCTGTAGGTGACAGCCACCCTTGTTCTGAACTTGCTTTTCAGCACTCTCACACTTGCCCCATGGCCCAGTTTGGCCTCTGGTTGCCAGCACATGGCTAGCCCAGTGCCTAAGCTTACCTTGCTATCCAAAGTCCTCTGTTTGAGTCATTTGGATCAGCAACAGACAGTCCTCTGAGACCTCTGAAGCTTTGAGAGTTTTATGCTATGTCTGTAATCAGTAATCTAGTCTAGAGGTAGCACTCTACTGTAGAAAGATAATCTTAGGTTTCTCCATTTGCAAACTTCTCCTTTTTTCAAATGTGATTTATACCATAGCAGTCTCTCTGGGCTACTTTGAGGGTTCTTTCTTTAGAACCTCAAGCAACTTAGTTAAAATTGATCTTGTGGGTACGTTGGCAAGCATGTATTGGCCAGTTGGTGGTGGGGAGGGCTGCAGGGCAGATTCTGTGAGGAGAGGCCAGGGCTGCCCTGAGCTTGCCACGGCTGGTTCCATCCAACTCCAGCTGACCCACCACAGGGACCCCTCACCCATGGTGGTAGTGCAAAACACTGCACAGGGAGAGGAGGAGGGAACAGAAGAAGATGAGAAATGGTGGTACAGAGACACCAAGGTCAAAGGCAGAGCAGGAGGACGTGCTGGAGTTGGTAGACATCTCCTGGAGAAACTGCTGTCCCTGCAGAGCCCACGCTGGGTAGAGGGGTCAGGAGTGAAACCTGGTGGAGGAGGTCATGTTTTAGTGTTTGTCTGTTTCTTGCTACCCTAATCTATTTAAATATGCAGTAAATTAGTTTTATTTGCCCCAAGCTGAGTCTGTTTTACCAGTGGAGATAACTGGGAAGCCATCTTCCTGTCTTTATCTTGACTCAGAAGCTTTTTCATCCTGTTTTCTTGCCTGTCTCGTAGAAGAGCGAGAGAGCGACCAGGTGGGAGCTGAGGTGGGTGCTCAGTCCAGTTGGCCAGGTGGACATTTAGGTCCTTTTGAGGTGCCCTAAGTTACAGTCCCAGTCTGCAGGAGGCTGGCAGGGATGGCGTGGGATCTATGGGTGACCTCTGCCTCCTGGGGCAGCAGCTGGAGGCCAGGAGTGCCTGGACACCCCTCAGAAGTGCCACTAGGCACTGACCCCTGCCAGGGCGAGTCCTGTGAGTTTCAGGTTGAGCTCAGAACCTACCACAGCACATGTTTCTCACTGTCCTCTTCTAAAGAAAAGGGAGTTGATAGAAGGCTCAGCTAATGTTTATATATGGGTTTGAGCACTGCAGCTCAACAGAAAGTTACAAATCCTGTAGCAGGATTGTTTTGCTGCACATCACTGTGCTTTTAGTGAGTTTTTATTCTGACCTTACTTACACTAAGCAGTTTGCAATGAGTAAGATCCCAGATTATTTCACCTCTCCTGAAAAGTGAAATCATATTTGCTTCTGAATATGCCATTATTAAATAGAATGTAATAAAAAGCTTTTTTTTCTGATGCTCCAATTTGATGAGATTCTGGTATAGATGTTGAAATTGGTGGGAGTGTTGCATCCTTGGAGTTAAGTGAATTCAATCAGAAAATCTTTAATCTGACCTATTAATAATTAAGCAATATTTTTTATTTCAGTTCTAAGATGATATAAACAAGCACAGAAACTAAATCCCTCTAAAATAGATCCATCATTCCTAAGAAAATTTGAACACTTTTAGTGTGGAGTTTTATTGTTTGGTTGGTGGTATTTTTTAGCAGAAAGAAGTTGATATTTTTTGAATGAGTTGCTTGTGACTCTTTATATGTGTGGTGGCAATGGCAGAGAGAATAAGAGACTAAAATTTGGCTTTCCAGTCTTGGAAATCATTCCAAGATTCTCCTGATTGACAACATAAGTAAGAGTTACCTTGCACTGTGCTGGCTGAAAACAGGTACCAGCATCCACAAGATGGAAGCAAACACAAGGAGCTGCACATTTCAAAGCTTGTGTAGAGCTCATCAGCTTTAGGGCAAGAAAATCCAGGAAGGTACTGTTTAAAATCTTGAATAAGTATTTTTTACTTTGTTCATCTGGGGATTATTTTATTTTTTGTTAATATTTTATAATTATGTAGGTCTCACCCTGTCAGTTTAGCATTCCCTGAACTTACTGTATCTTGGTGTAGTTAGTATGCACAGGACTAGCTTGTGCCTCCTGGGAAAGGATGGGTGAAAAAATTCTTTACTTAAATAGAAAATTCATCAGATTTGTCTTCAGATCTGTTTATTGGTGAGTGTTATGTGTCTGTGTGAGGCAGGGGGAGACAGAGGGTTTGAGACATTAATTCAGTGAAGTTATCTTATGTTTGATCATGTGCTTGTGCCCTGGCACCTTCAGTATGTAACTTTGGAACTGGTTATCTGGCTGGTGCTGGAAGCCTTTGTGTTTTGCAGTGCTACAGAGGCTGATTATATATCCTGAAGGAGGCAAAATCCATCAGCTTTGGGTGGAGTTTTGCCTGAAGACAAACTGCAGGATGAGTAGTCTAGTACTTGAATCAAAAATCAAACCTGGGAAGGGTAGGAACTATAGCTCAAATGGTACTGGCACTTGCATGTATAGCAGTGAAGATTCCTTGCTGCAATGTGTATTTTATGGCACAAGTATGACCACCAAAAAAAAAGGAGTTCCATTAGAAATACCTGAATGCAGTGAACTTAAATGATTTTCTGAAGTGTGAAGTTCAGTTTCTCTCTAGCATTTAAACTTGTGGTCTTACAGATTGGGCTATATATATTCAAAATACAACAGATCTGCAAAATAGCTTTTTCTTCATTCAGGAAAGGCTTATTTCTGTCAGAGTGTCTCTCCCACTCTTGGTAACTTGACAGTTGCTCAGGGTTTACATAATTGGCCCCAAGGAGCTTGGGTTTCCTGGTAGACCCATGTCAAAGCTGTTAGTTTTTCTTCATGCTGACAGTCTTCATCTGATTTTTATCTGAAATGTTTTTCTTTTTCACATTTGGCCTAGAATAGTTTTATGTGTGTGAATACAATAATTGGATATGGAAACTGATGCCTTCTCAAGATTTCCAAATAAGTGGAGTAAAATTAATGATGAAAAGAACCCACCTTCTCACAGTGATTTCAATACAGTTAGGATGTTTTAGTGAGCTGGAGAGTATTTAAAAAAAGGAGCATTTTATAGAATATTACAGGTTATCCGTGTGTTTTATCTCTGCTGTTTGCATTTTCTTCCTTTACAGAACTGCTAGAAGGCAAAATGTGGTTTTGGGCAGGACTCCAAGTCAGTTGAAATATATGGAGGCTAGCAACCTGGAGAGGCACATGATGTATTGTGGGATGCAAGTGACCCAATATCCAAGCTGCAAATGACAACTGAAATATTGCAAAGCCTAATTGTTTATGAAGTTATCAGCAAAGTAGTAGCATGACAAATTTCTTCTGCAAATATACTTTCTGGTGTGGCAGCAGAATCGAAGATAGATCAAAAACTAATACCTCTGTCTCTCCATGTACAACTTTAATTTCTGATTTTACTTTTGTTTAGCAGTACTGGGACTCCAACTCCAGCTTTGGATGCTGATGTCACCACATTGAGAGGTCAGTTTTCACCTAATTCCTGTCGAGGCTGGTTCTCAGTTATTGCAATACTGAGAAATGTGACCATGTTTGGATTTCAGAAAGAGCTGTGGATTTTTGCATCTCAATGCTGCTTGTATGCTAGAGATCATATTATATGCTGATGTTGTTTTGTTAATGTATGAACCATGAAAATCCTACTTGAGGAATTAGTTTTATGCACTTTTAAAATACATCTGCTTAGAGAGAACATTAGCATTTTATTCTGATTGGTGTATTTGATACTTTTCCTCAGGCTCTTCAGGTGTTTCCTGTGTTGTTTCTGTCACGATGATGGGAATAAGAATCAAATTTTACTGTTGGCTTATGCTTGCTAAACTGCTGTGCCTACATCTATATGCACATGGGTATAAAAAAAATCCCCCAAGCAAAATAATATTGCTGTCTTTCAAACTCAGATGCAGCTGCCAATGTTCCTCCCCCTCATGAGATCTCCATTGAGGGTCCTGCAGGTGGTACTGTCCATGAGGTTGAAGATGCAGACACTACTGTGAGTGGGTTGTGTTTTTCTTTTTCATTGGGTTCAGCATTCTGTTGCCTTCCCTAAATAATATTGTTTGTGGTCATTTGCATTTCCTAGTACTTAAAGGTGTTGTTAGCATGATGCATTAACACAAATTAAGATTTCATATAAACAGGGCATGAACTTGAGAAAGTTTTAAAATAATTTCCTGGGTAGGTATTTTTTCATTTGTAGAGTCTTTGCAATGCTGTTTCCCTGACCAGTGAGAGAGAATAGATCAGTTGAGGTATCAAGTGAGGATTTTTCTAGTGCTACAGGACTATACAAGGAAGAATGTGGAGCATTATTCCTATGGAAACATTTAAATACACACCTTAAATTGCTATAGTCATGTTTTGAGGCTCCATGTGGTGCAATTGTGTAGGACAGCAGAGAGGCAGCCTGGATAGCCTTGGAGATTCCTTCTGAGTCTCTGCTCCTTCTCTCCTCTGCTGACATAAATTAATTATCCCCTTACAGTCACCCTTTCCTTAATACTTAACTCCTGACACAGGGAAGCCTTCATCAAATCCTTAAAACATCTCTGTAGAAGTGAACTGGCTTTCAGAAATGCTGACCACCACATAGGTCCCAGGGAAGTGTTTGCTTCCAGGAAACAGCTCTTCTGGAGTAAAAGTTGGGGCCAAACTCTAGAATCCAACTGCAGCCTTCATGGGCCTACATGACCAAAAAAATTTTTGCAAACTAGTGGTATGAATCAGATGGCTTTTGTTTTCTTATAAAGTATAGGAATATATGCTTTCTTATATATATATCATTTCTTTAAAGTATATTTCAATGTATACTAAGAAGGTTATGATGTTGCATACAAGTAGGTGATTTTTGGCACTGGGTTTAACTCTGCATGGTTCTGTCAACTGTATGGCCATGAAACAAAGCTGGGCCAAACTGTACTTTATTCTAGAGCTTTCAGGGCTGGCTGTAGAGCTCTGATACTGTGCTTCCAAGAATAAATACTGAATATGAAACAGGCAGACAGCTTCTGACTCAAGTCCAGGGCCTGACTTTATATTACGTACCAAGAACGCTTGTGGTTTGGTTCCATGTACACCATTATTCTTTTTTGAAACAGAACTTCCAGAGGTATTTTTGCCCAGGCAGAGAATAGGGCCACTCAGTAAATCATAAAGAAACCAGAATTAGACTGTTGCTGCTACAGTGTTTTCACTGTGTGCAGTTACATCACACCTCATCAGTGCTCTGTGCGGCCAGATGACAAGACTAACAGTGAGCAAAGCTCGTCTTCTGCACCCATCTGTTGAGTCTACTTTTGGGTTTGGGGTACTGACAAAGTATTGAAACTACTTGGTGTTGCAAACAGCCATGTAGTAGCAGTACATGTATGCCCACTAATGATCTCTCTCTCAAAATACTAACTAGCTTTAAGTAGTGTACTAGTCGTTATGGTCCTTAACAATTATCGAGTAAAAAAGGGATGGAGGAAGGAAGAGAATTTCACAAAAAGATTTGAGGGCCCTTAAGCAATGTATAATTGGCTCAGTGGTGTCACCTAAACGTTTGTGAGAAAGATTTTTCCATTTCCTGCACCATATATAACACTAGCTGCAGTTTTGCTGCAGAGGTCTGTTTTGTTGGCTTTCTTTTCTCTTTTTTAATGAGGAAAAGGCAACAACTGCATGTAAATAGCCAAAGACTTTTGGCTAGTTGGCTGAAGTTAACTTAAGCCAGCCTTCCCTTCCCTCCTCCAAAAACCTTTTCATGTTGTTTTAGGACAAAACCATTAAGCAAGATCTGTTTTTTCTCAGGTCTTTCAGTATGCCACAAGGAATAGTATGCTGGTTGTAAAATACTAGGGAACGGAGCAGAAAGTATCCTTCCTGTGTTTCTCAGTCATTCAGATTAGAATAAAACTTGGAATTCCCTGTTGCTCGTGGCAGCCATGAGATCTACACTCTCCTGATGTGTTGCACAGCCACTGCTGTGGGGCTTCTTGGGCAACTGAAGACCTACTAGTTGAAGCAGAGGTCCTTGCAGGTCTCCCAGTGGCCCATTGAAACCTGAGGGGAACCCTCACCTTCTGAGGCTGCACAGCACAGGGTATTGTTTGGAATGTAGAATTTGGCAGAGGTACATTGTCTTCTAGGTGGAATAGTAAGTGATAAATGGGATAAATGCCTTGTGATAAATGTGTAAATTTTGGGTAAATCAGCCTATTGCTGACTGGGCTCAAGTGAGCTGTTTGTGTATCCACAGTTGCACTTTTAATTGCCTCATAAACTTCACACACAACTGGGTTTCTCTTTGCAGCTGAGGTCAGCTAGGTGGCCTTGCACTAGAGCAAAGATGTGCAGATGGAAAACAGAACTATCTGCAATACAAGAATTCTCAAAATATGTTCTTGCTTAGTAGATTGCCTCATTAGTTGCTACCTCTGTCCCTGAGGCTTCATGAGCACTCCATGATAGTGCAAGGCAAACAGAGATGCTGATGGCTTAAGTGAGCATGCTGTGCTTTGGAGTGCAGTTTTCACATGCCATTAAAAATTAATGTGACCATTAGTGTGGCCCACCAATAGTGCCCCGAGGTATTCCTGGCCACAGAGTATTTATGGAGAGGGCTCATGTCTTCTGCCCCATCACAAGCCAGGGAAACATCCAGGTTTGTAGCAGCTGGAAAAGTTTCTGGCCTACATGAGGAAGATGTTTGGACCCAAGCTTAGTAGTGTAGCATGCTGTTGACAGATGATGGACCATATATACATATCTAGAGATGCTTTTTACATGGAATAAATCCAGAACAGGTAGGAATCTGGTCTGTGATGAGTGACAAGGACTTATTTATTGGGAAAAAAGCAAAGGGCAAAACAGAAGAGAGAAAAAAAAAAAAGTCATTAAATCACCTTGTTTTCTCCCTTCTCCCTTGTCTTCCAGATCAATAATGAGATAAAGAAGCAGGATGAGAAGCTAGTGAAACCTGCAGCGGAGCAGATGATTGAGTTCAGCATTTTGGTGGCTAATGAGAAGTACAGTGAGGAGTTGAGGGACCCGGCTTCTGCGGAACACCAGCGGCTCTCTGAACAATTCATCTCTCAGGTGGTTACCTTCCCTGCCTTCCTTTTCCTTTTTGGTGGCTCTGCAAAGCAATAGCAGCACGTAGCACCTGTGTCAAGGGTTGACTTTTTCCCATGGGGTCTTTAGAACCATCTTAGGGCTTTTGTTGCCTGAGGCAGGCTGGAAAATACTCACCCACCACAAAGCCACACAGTTCTATCTGACATGCTGCCTATTTGAACTTAGTTGAGTGCCATAGTGTTTCTCATGAAGTTGCCTGCTCTCATTTTTGCTAGCAGAAGAGGTAAAAGTTTTTGGGATGATAGGAAGATTATGCTAAACCTCTGAACAGGGAGTTACTCTAAACAGGACCTTGCTGAGGCATAGCTTCCCCCCCCCCCCCCCATTTTCCAATTTTCTTAATTTACTTTGCCTCATGTTCATGGAAGAAACTAAGCCAGATGTTATTAATAAATTAAAAATTTTCCCACATATTTTAGTCCCTTTAAAGGTCTATTTCTACTAAGGCTAACTTGGGCCTTACCATCCTTTCAGAATTTTTCAGTGTCTCTCCCTATCAGTGTTACTGCAGAAAAGCTTTTAAACTCACAGAGAAGTCACAAGATTCTTCTTTGCCTCTTGATGCAACTTCATTAGTTCTTAATTCAGGATTTGAAAATCTTAGATTTTAAAGATACATTTAATACCTCTCCAGTGGCCATTCTGCCTGGAGTTTATTTCAGTGCTTTCTCATCTCATTGTCCAATTTGCATTCTCCCATAACTGAGAAACTGGGGAGTGAAAAAGATAATTTGAGGGTCTTAGCAAAACAATGACATGGTCTCCAGATTTTGGACTGTAGAAGACACTCTGGCATCAGTCTAGAGAATCTAGAGAATATGCAGAGCAGGTGACAGATGAAGAAACTGGAAGATGATGCAGACTTATTTCTGCTCCTGAGTGACACTTCTCCAGATGAATCATTGTCCATTGCAGTGAGATACTCTCTGAAATCTGGGCTGCCAAGACAACTCTTGCTGCTCATTTATACCCAGAACCAGCAGTTCCTGTCACCACATTTTAAAACCCTCCAGCCAGTTCTTAAACATGTGCTTAAATCCCACTGGAGTCAGTGGGAAGGAACCACAGGTTAGACTGTTTGGCACCTACTACAAAAGGAAAAAAAAAGTGTATATACATATAAATATATACACATAGATGCATAATTTATTAAAACAATATCAAGTTAATTTAATTTTCATCATTAATTAATGCTTTAATTTGTATGCCACAAATGAAGCTATGGGCCCACCAATATACAAATGCATATTTAAAATATGGTCAAATTGCTGTCTCCTAACTGTCCTCTCCCTACTGTTTCCAGTATTTTTAATTTTGTCTATAATGATGGTAATTTTATTACCATTATTTTCTTGGGGCAAAGAGCTTCTCTTTCCTTTCTCTTGGGAGAGACATCCAGGCTGCCATACAGCAGCACATCATGAAGCTTATATTTTCTCCAGCTTTGCTTCCTCCTTAGTCCCATTTAGTTGGGGTTCTCTGTTGAATCCCTTTTACTGGGGCTCACCCTGGGCCAGATGGGAAAGAGATGTACTCTTCATTGCAGCCAAAAAGCATCACCACAACTGTCACAAGCTGGAGCTTAGGCTAGACATCTTAATTTTCCTAGCTGTGTGGCCAAGTAGCAATGCCATAGTGTGTGTGTGGAAGAAATGTCAGATGGGACAGAGTCCACCTGGCATATGGATGTTCCACTCCTTTGATCCCCTGCCTGGTTTTCTCTCTGCTTGGATAAAGAAACTCATGAAAAAAAGAAAGTCAGCAGCACTTCAATTGTTTAAGTCTCACCAGAGACATTTTAAAAATAGGGAGACTGGAGAAGGGAAGAAGAATTTAAGGAGTAAAAAATAGTCCTCAACTGGCAAGGATTTTTGGGTGGGGAAATGAAATGCTGAAGCAGCATGAACCTTCAATAGTCTCTTTCTTGGTTTTGTCTCCCATAACACAGTTGACTATTGACCTAGGCTTGGATGTGCTGCCATTTTGCTGCAACCAGTTGGTTTTTTTGACTAGCACTGTCAATCACTCCTGAGCCCCTGGTATGCTTAGGGCATTGGGGATGAGCCATGTGTTGCACTATGTAATGCATTTGTGCCTCTTTGGAGTCTAAGAGGTCCCTGTCATGCCACAGTCGCTGCTCCTCTAAGTTGCTAAGGCCCAAAGCATTTTCCTGAATTCTTTTCAACCCAGAGAAAATTTGGAGGTAATGGAAAATTTGGGGCAGAGAACAATTTGTGCTGCATGAAGAAGAATGTCCTCTGCTATGGACAGTGCAGATCCTCTGCAGAGTCTGAATTTCCCTGTTTGAATGTTTCTATACAGTTCTTCTGGGTATGCTGGATGGTGTTCTTCATACTTTTTCTTCTCCCTTTCTAATAATGGAACAACACCACTAAAACACTTCTTCCATAAAGAGAGAGAATATTCAACCATTTTCCTCCTAATAGATCTAAGAGCTTAGATACATTTTTAGAAAAGGTTGAAAATTCCTCCTGATTTTTCACCAAACAAGTAGGATGGAGGAAATCCATGTTAAGAGTAGGATGGAGGAAATCCATGTTAACTTTTTTTTTTCCCTCAAAACAGATGAAAAGTGTATTTGAAGGACTACCTGGGTACAAAAGCATCCACATCCTGGATTACAGGTAAAAAGATACTGATGCATTTGTGGTGAGTGGAACTGATCCTGTATGACAGTGCACTGTGCTAGCACCACACTTGGAAGAATGTTGGGCATGTGTGTGGGAGCTCCTAAGATGCATTAGCCCAAGGACAAATGTTTTCATAGCTGGTACCTCTACACACAGAGGTTGAAATAGAAATACAGAACTGTGTGTAAATGTAATTATCTCTTTTTTTGCTCCTGGCATTCACCAGACTATCTGACATGATATCCTTGCACTGATTTTAAGACCAGGCATTCTTATTCAAGATTCTATCCTAAAATTAAAAGAGATCTTTTCTAATTTAAAATTAGTATCTGGTACTTCTTCAGTGATGTCCTAGTATTAAACAAGGAAAAACACAGAAACCTTTTTGGAAAGATGGGATGTATTTAATTTTTTTTTTTCATCTTCTTAATGTTAATTTGGGGTGATACTAAGGGTTGGAGTTTGAGCTATGTAAATCTTCTTTTAATCAAAGCCAAGGTGGGTGAATAGATTAATAAATGAAATGCAATGTTTTAACTCTTTTTATTAGAATTTTTTTTTTAAAGTCTGGTTTCCTGAAATCACGTTGTGCTTCAGAATGACATTTTAAGTTAACTTAGAGGAAAAAGGGCTCCTACATATTACGCATGAAACTTCTGATGTCTGAGTTTTGGGGTACATGGGTCATAAATTATGATTTTTCTTGAATGGACAGGATATAACTTTCAAAATCTAATGTGCCTGTTCATGACTTAATCTAAATTGTGTTTTCTTTGAGACTTTGGAAGATATGTTTCTTAGAATTTATTGGCTGGAATATTCTAGTAACAGAGCAGCTATAGTGAGAAAGGTTTTATGGTTGGAACCCCAGACAGTGTGCAGCTTCCAGCCTGGGATGTACCAAACCCTTCCATCTTGGTGTCTGCAGTCTCATTCATTTGCAAGCTCTTGGTCCATTTGAGAAGACAAATAAAAGGTTGATATTTCTGGAAAAGTATCAGAGCTCTGTCTTCACCTGTGGATGACAAAAAAAATGTGTTTATAAAGTAAACTTTTAGGTAGAATTAGTGAGCCTTGATTTTCTGGGTAGTCACAGCAATTTAACCACATTATTTGCAATAAGTAGAGATGGCTCTGCTCTTCTGATTCCTTGGAATCAACAGGAAATATCTCACTTCAATAAAAGCAGAAGATTTCTTTATGTAGCAGAATAACCATGCAACTTGTAACTATTTTGCTGTGTGCTTTCTCAGACTTGTGTGCCCTGTAGAATACCAAAGGAAATTTGTTGAAATTAGAAGACTTGAAATCATAACATAAATTTAACAGATTTTATTGTTCTGTTTTGTTTCTATATTCAGGTCTCCTGAGGAGGACAGGTAAAGACAACTTTTTTACAGATATTATCATAACACAGACAGAAAAACATATTTAGCTGGAGGACACTGCTTTGGGGATTTGTAGTTTTGTCTCCAGAGTGAGATAGTTATCCAGCCATGAGTATTATGTGAAGGAGTTCTACCAGAAATTGCAAGTAAACTGATCTATTTTGATTACAGATAAACATAATTTGCTTATTTAAGTCCTAATCATAAAAAAAACTACTTGCAGAAAATCTTCCTAAACGCAAGATAGCTACTGGGATAACTTGTGTGTAGGAGTGTCTTTTGTGGGAAAAAAAAAACCCACCAAAATTGCTTAATGATGACTCAAGATCCTTATACTTTGCAGCAAATTATTGAATAGACATAGGATGATTATTGATAATGATTATATAAACAATTACATATAATAATGAGATTAAAGTCAGTAAGAAAACTTCAGTAAAGGCAGTTGACTCACCTACTTCAAGGTCAGAGGTGCTGCACATCTTAGGAACAGTTTTATAAATGTTCCTTAGCAGAACATGGGATCAATCTGGACTTGGTTTTTGTAAGACAAGTGGAGGTTAAGCATCCAAAAATTTCCTCCTTTTAGTATTTTAAGAATTTCACAAGACAGAAAATGATCCACAGCCTTTACCTTACTAAATGTATTACTTTTGTGTGTGTATTTCTCAGCCAAGGTATTTTGACAAACATTTTTTACTGAGAATGAGCATTTTAATTTTAAAAGAAAGGTCAGAAACCACAAATCTCTCTATAAATAATAGTGACTTAAAGCCATCCTCTACCATTTGGCATTCCCACAGGCAAAGATGCATGAGATTATTCATAAAGGCTGTGTTGCCAGCACCAGATATTTCAGCCCTTTGCAGACAGAAGATGGTGTCGTAGTTATTAGGTAGGAATTACTAACTGGAACTGCCAGCACAGTTGTATTAAAGCTAAATGTGACTTTTGAGGAGTATTCCATCTTTGCTACTGTGCCTTTTTATTACTCCTGTCCTCTTATATTTCCTTTGCTGACAGTTGGTGCCCATGGTGGGCTCATTTCCATGATAGAGCCAGCAGCAAAACTCCAGGAGGCTCCTGGTTTTAGCCAGTGTGTTTGTTGATTGTTTCTGCTGTATCTGGTGCTGGTATTTTAGAGACTTCTCTGAACAGAGCCACTACTTTAGCTGCCCAGGCCAGCCCTGTGGAATGAGAAAAACCTGCCTTTGGAGCACATTTTTCTAACACTTCCTAGATTACTTCATTTTCTTGTTGTGCCCTGTCTATAGCCAAAATATGTTCTGTTTTCTAAAGCTTCCTTGTGCCTATACCCAGTGTATGGTAAACGTGGTTGCTGCCCATGCTGTCCTGTGGGAAAGGTCATCTAGATGTAATCAGGAAAAGAAAATTATGGAAATGGAGGAGAGTTAATACTTAAAAAAATCTAAGCTGCACAGATACAAAATTTAGTTAAAAAATAAATGATTGAATGAATCTAGAAAAATGTTCCAAATTATAAGCTGTATTAAATTCCATTTTATTGCTAGTAAAGACATTATTTCAAGCAGACTGGCACTGCACAGTGACAGTGATTAGGGCTTCTTCTTGCTACTGGAGATTGCTTCCACACACAGCTTGTTTTTCCTGGCTATTGTCTTACCTCGGAGCCATCCTCATCGTTGGCATGATCTTAAAATCACTGGTGACACCACTGCATGCTGGTGGGCCCATTGACAATGCTGGAAGAAAACCACCATTTGGGTCTGTCTGCCATTCACTAGGAGAAATACAGAGCTGGAACCAGACCAGATATCAGGCTGTGGTAGCCTTTTCCTTGAGAACTTTGCAAGAGTGGAAAGCACAGGCAGGCAGACATAAGCATGAAAAGAACTCAGTTGGTTTTATTTAGCAACCTTTAAAGCAATACACTTTTATATTAAAAAAGGATATTGACACAGGTTCTTGGGGGGAAAAAAATCATAGTTTTTTCTATATGTTGGAAAATGTTACATTATTCATCTGTGTTCTCTTTCTTTATACAACTGAAGTGGGGTGGAGGTTCACTATGCTGTGACCTTTGATGGAAAAGCCATCAGCAATGCTTCCTGGGACCTGATTAACCTTCATTCCAACAAGGTGGAGGACAACTCCTTCATGAGCATAGAGGATAATCCAACAGCTGTGTACACCATCAGTGATTTCCAAGATTATATTGCTGAAATCCTCCAGAAAAATGCCTTGTTTGAAAACACTTCTTTGTCTTTAGACCCTAACTCTCTCCAGCTTATTAATGGTGAGTATTAATTATGATGAATTGGCAGGCCACAAAGTGGAAGTTTTATAAATAAATCTCAGATGAACAAATTATTCAGCTGCTCTCTGAATAATTAAACAGAAGCAACAAAACCAATGGTGGTGCAGCTTGTTTTGCTCTGGTCTTTACCATGCCATCATTAGCAGTAGTATCCCATTCTTAACCCATTAGATTAACCTTTTTTATTTTTTTTTTTATCTTTGACACTGAGGTTTGTGGTGTGAAATTTTGGCAATAGTTCCAAAAAATTTACAAGGATAGAAGGGGTAATGTGGTTCAAAAGTCATACACTACACCAAGATAAGAGATGTTTTCTCAATCTTTCAAAACAACTTTCTCACACTGCTACTGCTGCCTTTAGATCCCATGTATTTATCTTTCCACAGTGAAAGAGATACAACACCCTACACCAGAAGACCCAACCTGGATTACAGAGCATCCAGTTGTGCTGGAGCGCCCGGAGTTTGATGTGAGTGTGGTTCTGAGCCTCTGGACACATTTGAGCAGCTTAAATCAGGAAGGTGGAGGTGCAATTAGCACCCAGAACTTCTCTATCCTGTAGTTCATGCTCATCTGATAATTTGATATCTGTTGCACTACAGTTTCCTGTGATTATTTTATATTATATGGCAGTACTGTGTTCCTGCCTCTGTTTTTCAGTCTCCCTTTGGCTGTTTTTTCATGATATTTAAACTGTAAATTGCTCTAAAGACATGATTCTTCCTGTAATATTACCTTTCTTTGGACAGCAAGAAATAGATGTAAGCACTAAAACTGGCTGCTAGAAGAGATAAAACAAAGTTTCACATGCCCCTTAAGTTACTGTATTGTGTTCACTGAAAGTTCTCAGTTCTATTTTAAAATTATGTCCACCCCTTAATGTGCAAGCAAAGGAAACACAGAAAAATAATAGCCAGTGTGTTTGGTGTTTTTTTTTTTTTTCCCTCTTGAAACTGTAATTATCTCCTCTGATTACCTCTGGAACAACCCAGGACATAGCCTGAAGTTGCCCATTGGACAGAAGACTTGGTATCTAACAGTGTCCATACAAGTCCAAGGGGCTTTAAGCAGCTCTACCAAGTTAGGTGCCAGCAACACTGAGATCAAGTCAGTTCTGCTGACAGCTAGAATTTCTGAGTGATGAAGCACTGGTTGGGCTTAAGGATTTATCCAGTAGTTTTCTGCTCTGCACTCTGTTGGTAACACAGATGTGCCTTCCAAGAAGAAATGAGCTCGGCCAACTTCTGAAATTGGTAGGGAAGCAAAATTCGTAGTTGCTTCACAGAACCCAAATATTCCTGTCAGAATGGTTACAGGTGTATTATCCTTTATTTCATGCCAGTTCCCCCTGAGTTTTAAAAACTAATTATTGGTGTCTAAAATGCAAATTCATATGCATTTGCCTTAAATGGCTTAAAATGGTGTGGATGAACATGAAGTTAACTTTTAGGAAAGGGCTTTCTCTTTACTAGAGCTATCTAACTACATTAACATGTTGCAGAGGTTAATTTTAGTAAGACAAAGAATTCTATCATCTTTATGTTATATCTGTGAGTACTCTGATAAATGTGCAGGCAAGAAGATTTTGCAGTAGAGGTAACTTTACAATAAAAATTTTCAAACCAATTTTAGGGAATAGTAGGTACAAGAAAAAAATCTGGAAGTTAAATTTTCTATTTGTGGACTACAAAAACTAATGTAATCTATATCTTCAGTCAAAGACTCTAATTTTGTAAAAGATACTGAATGTTTCCAAAAACCAGCTGTGTACAATCTGCAATATACAGATAATTTGGGAAGCCACTCCAGATAAATTTAAGAAAATTGTAAACATGCTTAAACAGTAAACAAGATTGAAATGATTAGTCAATTACTTCTCCAGATGTCAAAACTTTGTGGTTCAAGTAGATGCTGTTAAGTAGAACTGTAATAATTTTGCTATTATTTTTCTTAGCTGATTTGATAATAAGGTGGATTTGTATTATCATACATGCTCATGACATAATGTGGGACTCTCATGACTTCACCTTTGAATTGCTAGCAGATGGTATCAAATAGTCATGAATTCTTTCCTTTGAGTTTTACAACTCTCTTAAAGAGAGAAGAAAAAATCAAGTCTAGTTTTTGAAATTTATATTTTCTTGTTACTTCTGTTGAGCTGTAACAGGTAGAATGCTCTGGCTTGCTGACTACAATGCCTTTCTGGCAGCAGAAAATGGAAAGTCAGGGGAGGGGATTCTGTGTTTGCAGTCATCTGTCATCTTTGTCAGCCTTTCAAAAGACATTAGCAAAACCCAGAACTTGCCAATATGATATTAAACCTGTTAATATAATATATTGCACTGTAACAAGAATCTTAGAATAATGTTGGTTGTCATAGGAACACCTATCCACAGTCAAATAAATGATGAAGTGCAATCCTTGGCAACAAAATGCTCACATAAAAAAACAGATAAAAAAGTATTGAGAAACTATTGCTGGTAGTCCTTATTCATTCTTTATGGAATTTAGATGTGTAATTTGTTTCTAATTTTGCACAGTAACTTTTTTTACAGCTTTATTTATAGTGGCCTATCTTGCCAAAAAAGGTAATTGCTGGAGCACATGTATAGATGATTTATACACTTTTCAACTGATTGTTACCATATAAATTAAAAAATGTGGAGACTGTGGTGGCATAAAAACTGGCTATAAAAATGTGATTGATACAGGTAGACAAATATTTAATTAAATACCTTAACTGGCTTCTTTCCAAAGCATTCAAATACAATTTGAATGAAGTTTAAAATGTAATTCACCTATGTTTATACCCAGAGCAAGATTTCAAAAAAAAAAAGAAGAGATTAAAGAAGAGATTAGGCAGGAATGAACTCTCATATGGATTACAAAAACCTGTGTCCACTGCCCACTTGATTTTACTAGTTAGCAGTTAGCACCATCAGCAATTGGTTAGTGAAGCAGTAATCCCTGAGTTTTAGTCAGACAGCTTTGCTTTTGTAGCCTCAACCAAGTAATCTCTGAACTGATTTTTCCCCATTGTAATTACCTCATGAGGCACCGTGGTAGTAGATTAATATTCAAAGATGAAGTGTGCTAAGTATTCTAACTGTAAACCAAGTAATTATTGGGGTATGGAGTAGTAAGTAAATAGTGTGCAAAGTGGAGATTTACAAACAAATTTTCACATTTCAAACAATTAGCCAATTCTTTGTGCATAGTCTTTGTTGTTCACCATTACTGCTGAGAGGGTTTGGTTTTGTTTTTCTTCTGCATGGGCATTTTGGCTTTGAGACTAAAGTTCTTCTGGGTTCTAAATGCTTTTGTTTATATTATGGTTTTTGCTTTTCTCCTGCTTGCTCACTGAAAAATAGCAATAAATGACCACAGGGCAGCATATGTTCAAGTTCCATATTTAGAGTGTTTTGTGCATCACAGTAACTATAATATTTTACTCACTGTGTTGATTATGTAGCTGATAAATAGCTGTTAACACAGCTTTGTGCACCAGTGTTTCCCCTGCAATGATGGAAATACTGATGGTGTGTTTATCTTCCAGGACAGCACCTTTTCAGCTGAAAGGCCTTCAGCAGATGAATCAACTGTCAGCAACACCTTGCCCTTTGATTTCACCAAACCAGATTCCACTTCAGATAGTGAACAGTCCAATGACAATGAGATCTGGCCAAGACCTGAAAATCTGGACTCTGAGGCCAGTCTGGCACCTGAAGCTCCACTCTCCTCACAGGCTGATGCCACTTCTTTGCCTGACTTAGAGGATGGGAACTGGACTCCTCACTTGGTCACTGCACCAGTGTTTGAGAGTGATTCTGTGGACTCTTTGGAATGGCTTTCATCCCCCAATTCTTTAGATGGTGAGTTAATGTCATCAACTGAAGCTTAAATTTAGATGCCATTGTTTCCTGACACTTCACCAAAGGTGATAGTTCACCAAAATAACTTTTCAGAAAGGTCCAAAAAGATTGGATGTCTTGCTCTGATAGTTTTTACCTTTCCTGTGTGTGTGTTTATCCAAGAAAAGTATGCTGAGTTGGTCACTGCACCAGTGTTTGAGAGTGATTCTGTGGACTCTTTGGAATGGCTTTCATCCCCCAATTCTTTAGATGGTGAGTTAATGTCATCAACTGAAGCTTAAATTTAGATGCCATTGTTTCCTGACACTTCACCAAAGGTGATAGTTCACCAAAATAACTTTTCAGAAAGGTCCAAAAGATTGGATGTGTTGCTCTGATAGTTTTTACCTTTCCTCTGTGTATGTATCCAAGAAAAATATGCTGAGATAAAATGCTTGTAACAGCTAATAATGCTTCTTCAGTCCTTCAGGGAATGGTACACACATGATACTTGTTTAATTGCACAGAAGTATTTTCATATGTCTTGACTTGGCCCGTAGAATAGCTGAATGAAAAGTGGGAGGGGTCAGTAGCAATCCTTCTGACTTCAGCATACAAAGGCCAGGGCATATCACAAGAAACATGCTGAATACAGCTCTACAGCCAATAAAATGAATGCTGTTTGACTCTTTTAATCATAACGACTAATTTGAAATTTTATTTTTTGTGTTTGAAGATACTGGACTATCTGAAGACCTTTTGCCTTTAAGTCCTCCTCACCTTGTGCCTGAAGAACCTCCATCTACAGATGATTATGGAGTTCCACTGCTTTCTGCACCAACAGTGGCCTCTTCATCAGTCACAGAGACTGATATTAAAGAAACAGTATCTGCTGAGAAGGAAGAAGTAACTCAAGGTAGTCCTGCAGGCAGTAGAAATGCAGATTCTTTGTTGCATGAGTCTGTGGAAGAAATTCCTTTTCCCTTAGAAGTACACCCTGTGGAAGATCAAACTGATATATATCTTGGAGATAGAGTTGTGTATGATGATGGGTCTGGTTCAGCTTTTGATGGTTCAGGAAAAGAAATAGAATCAAGTGTTTGGCCTTGGGAAGAAGCAACACTGGAACCAGTTTTCTATCCTGGTCCTGATAGCTGGCTTGAAGATGACAATGAGTCTTTGTTAATCAAAACTGATGATATTCCTGAAGATATGATTTTAGACTATATTCTTAATTCAGGGAATAAATTAGATGATGAATCTTCCAAAGATGAGGATGAAGGTATGGCCAATATAAAAGATGATTTCCTCGATGAGTCTGAAATACTTGTCTTTCCAGAGACTACAACTCAGCAGATACCTCTGTTACATACAGAAAAGTCTTCTGTGGAACCATCGACACAGGAAGAAACATTGGGCATGCATGATTCTTCTTTTGTTAAACCATCTTTGGCTTTGGAGCCTCCCGTGGACCATTCCTTTGCAGATATGCCAACTGGAGAGGCCCCTGTCTCACCACACGATACAGGTCTGTCTGTGGAAGATAGTCTCCTCACAACTACAGGGGTTGTCAGTGTGGAGCAACCTGAAGAGTCCAGTGTAGATCAGAACATCATTTCTGAAGCAGTTGAACACCAAACTGAAGACAAGACAATGGTCAACCAACCATTCACAGTGGAGCAGTCAGATGTAACTGAAGCTGCTACAATAAGCCACTTGGACATAAGCTCCTCAGAAACTATTCTGACTGCAGGTACTTCCATGGTAAACCCTGATGCTTCCACAGAAGAGCAGCAAACCCTAGATTCATCATTGGCAATTCAAGACACTACTGAGTCAGCAGTGAAGAAACCAGCTGATGTTTGGCCTACTGACACAGCACTGGAAAACTCATTAGATTGGACAATGCAATTGGCAACGCCAACTGCCACTCAAATCTCAACTGCAGTTCCTTCTGTGGTAGATCAGAGCACTGTTCTAGAGAGCTTTGGTGGACAGGGTGGAACAGAGCACGACATGGATGTTTCTGTGAGCTTCAGCACTGTTATGGACTCGTATGTGACAGTGAGTGTAACAACAAGCCCTGTTGAACTTCCATCCACTCTCCTTCCTGTGGGATCCACAGCGTCATCATCCGTGGCTGCCTCCACAAAGTTGGGAGATGACACAATAAGAGTCCTGGATGTTTCAGTGGATCTGGATCCTGTCAGCACTGTCCACTTTTTTCCTGAGCTCACCGAGGAGGGCAGGAGCGTGACCAAAAGTCACGTGGAGCTAACAACTCATGTCCAGTCCACAGAGATGGCCAGTGTGGCTTGGGCCACCCATGAGAACCGCAGTGGTACTCCTATCCCATCACGGTCTCTGGTGGTGTTCTTCAGTCTTCGGGTTACCAACATGATGTTTTCAGAGGACTTGTTTAACAAAAACTCTCCAGAGTACAAAGCGTTGGAGCAGCGATTCTTGGAGCTGGTAAGAATAATTTCTGTGCCGAATGTTTAGTACCAGACAGACAAAATTTGTCAGTATATAACAGCTTGTCAGCTCCCTTTTGCAGGGAGCAACTCAACACTGGTCTTTACAGAGGCTACTTGTCCCTCCAGGGGAAAATTCTGTTTGGAAATGTGGGTGGGGTGGGGTGTGGTTTTTATGTTTCTTTCAGTCTCTCTAAAGTGTAACTTTTTAGTGCTGTGGGCCAGATGCTCTGCTGGTGTCAATAAGTGTAGCAGTGTAGCTGAAGTGGCTATGACACTCCCCTTGCTTCCAGAGAGCCTTCTGTTTAGTCTATAGGGTGAGAGTAGTAAATAAATTGGGGCTGTGGTGAGGTAACTGTTCTGCAACACTTTCAAACCATCCTAAGTGAGAGGTAGTTCAGAGAACTAAGCTGTTTCTAAACTGGCTGGTGACCAGCAAACCTCACGGGAGCTACACAGCAACAACTGTCAAATTTTAATCAGGAAATTCCCCTCTTCTGAGTGAAATGAGCACTTTGTTGTGGGAGATGAAGGGAGCAAAGGACAGCTGAGGATGGGGGCCATGCTTGAAGGAGATGCCCTGTGGAACAGCAACTCTGCCTGGTGCTTAGATCAAGAGAGAGCACTGTGTATGTCCTGAGAATGGTGTTTCTGAACAGTAGAATTTTTGGCAACTGCAAGTCAGTGTACTGTTAAGCACTGCCTGAGGGACCTGGGCTCCTGCTATGGGCCTGAATTGGGTAAAATTTTAATGCCATTGTTGCAGGATTTGGATAAAATAATTCAGACTCCCACTGTCTGATGCAATAACAGTGCAACTGTCTCGAGTAGAGACTCCAAGATTCATCCCTTCTGTTGCATTCCCTGTGTTGCAGCTGGTGCCCTACCTTCAGTCAAATCTGTCAGGCTTCCAGAATCTGGAAATCCTGAACTTCAGAAATGGCAGCATTGTAGTGAACAGCCGAATGAAATTTGCCAAACCCGTGCCTCGGAACGTCACCAACGCTGTGTACATGATCCTGGAAGACTTCTGCAACACTGCCTACCACACCATGAACCTGGCCATCGACAAGTACTCCTTGGATGTGGAATCAGGTAAACATGGCAGGAAAAGGCAGCTTAGAGCAAGGGATTTAGAACTGCTGCTGCTTTAAGGATTTCTTTAAGGATATGGTGCTTAGGGACATGGTTTAGCAGTGGACTCAGTAGAGTTAAGTGAATGGTTGGACTTGATGATCTTAAAAGGTCTTTTCCAACCTAAATGAGTCTATGATTCTAGGAGCCCAGTGGCTCAGAGACTGCCCACTGCTTATCACAGGCTGGGCTTTTTCTAAAGGCTTTTCTACAGTCTTTCACAGAGTTCAAACAGGCACATAAATATCTGTTAAGGGACTAAAGAGATGAAAATCAATGTGAGATCCACACCCAGCAAACTACATAGGGCCCACTTAGGAATATGGGGACAAAATTGGCTCATGTAATACTCCATATAATTCCCCTGCACTTTCACTGGGGAGTGAGGGGGAAGGCTGCTCAGCCAGAACAGTGGTAGATGTGATCACTCCCACTGGTGGTAGCCAGGTTAGCTGCCAGGTAGGCATCTGCACAGATAACAGCTGCTGCCTGACTCTGTGGTAAGGTCTTGGTTGTACTAAAAAGTTACAAGCCCTCTTAGGTCACTCCTGCTATGGGAAGAAGTTTTTTCCCTGTTAATGTTAGCTAGTAGTTTACCATAGAAGTGATTCAGAAATATTTCCTGTTCTAAGGTTACACAAAAATAACAGTGCTGACCTGTTGGCAAAAGGCAGCTGCTGTTCTGAGGTAGCCCTCTTACAAAGATGATCTAATTAGTATGACAAATCTTCTGATATTATCATTTAACTGTATCTCAGTCCTCTTAAGCTTGATACAAGTGAGATATATCAAATGCTATTCCTTTCAAAGGCAAATCCTCTCACAGTAGGTGCTGAGTGCCCCGAGTGCCCTTCCCCTGTACGCTGCCTAGGCCTTCTATAACAAGAAATACTGGTGATCAGCTGTGTTTTACTCATTTGCAAATTATAGTTCCAGCAGGCAAAAGAACAGCTGAGGTACTGCTCCTTCCAGCAAGAAAAAGAACACTTTACACTTGCTTTGTCGATTGGCTTGTTGGGTGGTCTCAGCCATGCCACTGACACTCCCTGTGCAGGCAAGGAGCCCTTCCTAGCTCTTGTCCACCTGAGCAGAACCTTTTGTTACTCAGGAAGCATGCTGGATTTTTGCAGATTTTAACTGAGAGACCCCATTAGAGAAAACAGCAGCAGCCAGCCAGCGCGTTGCCTCAGCTGAGGTTCTCCTCCATCAGGAGTATTTTCTGCCCTGTGTGTCCTTCAGGTGAACAAGCAGATCCCTGCAAGTTCCAGGCCTGCAATGAGTTCTCTGAATGCTTGGTGAACCGTTGGAGTGGGGAAGCTGAGTGTGTCTGCAATCCTGGCTACCTCAGCATCGATGGGCTGCCCTGCAACAGCATCTGTGATCTGCAGCCAAACTTCTGCCTCAACGACGGGAAGTGTGACATAAGCCCTGGGCAAGGGGCCATCTGTAGGTAGGTCAGCCTGATGTTTGAAGTGTCTGCTTCCACTAGGAAGGAACCTTGTCTCCTCTGTTGCAGTGTCCTACAAGATTGGGGCAAAATTCTGTCAGACAGTGTGTAACAAGAGGGATGATGATTATCATCTTATTATGCTGCAGAGTGGAGGTCCTAATATTAACTTTTGTTTTCCTGTGTATATATCAGAAATGAGATGGTAATAAATTTAATAGCATAGAAACAGCAGGAAATAAAACTAACTAGGAAAAATGGTAGTCATGGAACATACTCAGGTGTTCAAATCACCTTCACTGACCTTTGGGGATGGATTTTATCTCCAGAAGTTTTCTCCTTGCTCCCAGAAGGGCAAAGTGTTAGATAATGTCATAAAGCACATACATCAAATCACCTTCACTGACCTTTGGGGAGGGATTTTATCTCCAGAAGTTTTCTCTTTGCCCCCAGAAGGGCAAAATGTTAGATAATGTCATAAAGCACATACGAGTTCATTCTATCACAAAAAATCATGTCTGAAAAACATATTCATTTATTAAAAACAGTGCTTTTGCTTAAGAAAAAGTCATAAAAGGCACAAAAGTACATCACTGGCCATTTGAGAAAAATGTGGTTTGTAAAAAGAGCAAGGCACAGCTCCCATGTTTCAAATATTTGTTTTTAAAAGGATACAGATGCATTTGAGTAGGACCTCTATATTTTGCAGGTAATGAGCAAGACAGTAGAAGATACAGACAAATCAATGCTCTCTCTGACATAAAACTTATTTTTTTTTCATTTTCAAGCAATGTAAGTCTAAGTCTGTTTTTAAAAACAAAATATACCTATCAACAAAATGTAGGAGACTTACTGCAAATAAGAATATGACTACTAGTAGTTACTATTTATGCTACTTCAGGTGATTTTTTTAAAAAAAAATCTTACCTAGACCATCTCTAAAGTCAACCTTAGAGTCCTGGCAATTAACAAGAGAAATAAAAACATTTTTTAAACAACAAAAATGGATACTGTCACAGATGTAGTATAAATTTTATCATATTTGTATAATAGTGTTAGTTAGAAACAGGTAAGTATCTAAAGGGTTAGGGTTGTAAACTCAAAGTGGGTAGATTTAGACTAAATCTAAGGAAGAAATATTTTACAATGAGGGTGGTGAAACACTGGCCCAGGTTGCCCAGAGAAGAGGCAGATGCCCCATCCCTGGAAACATTCAAGGTCAGGTTGGATGGGACTCTGAGCAGCCTGATCTAGTTAAACACATCCCTGCTCACTGCAGGGGAGGTTGGAGTAGGTGACCTTTAAAGGTCCTTTCCAACCCAAACCATTCTATGATTCTGTACCAAAAAAAGCTGTTCACAATAATAATAATATACATAGTAAATGAAAGTTGGTGCTTGAACATACAAAGGTATTTACTGAGGTGACTGAACTGAGGGCATGTCATAACAAGAAGATAAATATATTTCCATTAACCAGAGCTTCTACTGGTGTTTAATTTCCCAGTGTTTCTTTGTTGCAGGTGTCGTGTGGGAGAGAACTGGTGGTACAGAGGGGAGCACTGTGAAGAATATGTGTCCGAGCCACTGGTCGTGGGTATTGCAATTGCTTCTGTGGCAGGATTCCTTCTTGTGGCATCTGCTGTTATCTTCTTCCTGGCCAGGACCCTCCGAGACCAGTACACTAAGAGTGACACTGAGGAGTCCCAGGGGTAAGGGACACCATGTAGTGTTTTAAATCACATCTGCTACGATAAGGGTAATTCTGTCGTGAGTCTTATATCACACAGTTGACAAGCAAGAGGATGTACAGGTGCCTCCGAATGCCAGGCTTCCTAAATCTATCTGCTGCCCTCTCAGGCTGCAGAGAAGCTCACAGTTTGTTTATTGCTCCCCCAGGCAGGGTGACAGCCTCTCATCCATTGAGAATGCAGTTAAATACAACCCCATGTATGAAAGTGACACGACAGGCTACAGCCACTATTACCGGAGATACCCTCAGCTAACGTCCTACAGTTCCACCAGTGCAGAGACATCCACAGACTACAGCAGTGAAGAGATCAGGCACATTTATGAAAACAGTGAGCTTACTAAGGAGGTAAATCACCTTGTTTTCACAGGGGCATGGGAAAGATCCTAACCTTACTCAATGTTTGCAACCTGACAGGTGGGACCGCTCTTTCCCCAGGGTCTATGCTCTAGGTGAATAAGTTGGAACTGTGGCTGCTGCAGCTGTTTAGAAGAGAGAAAGGATTTCTTTCTCTGCTTACTATTAGGTATAGAGAAAAGAATGGGTGTGTTCTGACCTGTAATGAATTTCACATGATAAAGGAGATGACTGCTTAAGCAACTTCAGGGGAGTTGTGGGGAGGTTTGCCATAATGCTTGACCCAGCCTTTGGCTTTGAATGCCAGCTACCTTATGTAAGAGTAGTTACACAGTGAAATTCTGGCACATCCAGGCCTTCTTCAAGGTTGTTGGTTTTTTTTTTTAAAGTTCAGGTCTTTCCATAATCTGCAAGTTAGATCACATCCTTCTTTCCTCCTATATACACAGTATCCAGGGATTTACTCTAGGAGGCTGAAGAGAAGGGATTTACATCCAGGAACTAACCACAGATCCCTTAAGCAACTGTGAGAGGTGTGAATCCAGCCCATAGCCAGGGCTTGGAGGGAAAGTAAGCTTGTAGGGAAAGTATGAGAGAAAAATGGTTTGCTTAAAGCCTGTTGAAATGCCACACTGTTCAAACCCCAGTGTGGATTTGAAAGTAAGGTAGTACTGGATTCCAATGAAGTGTTTCACTTCAGAAAAGGAAAAAAAAAAAAGCATAAAGAAAAATTTTAGTATTGGAGTGTCCAGTTTCAAGCTCTACTCCTTGAAATAGCAAAGCGGAGGAGTTTTATTTTCCAAACCCCAGAAATCACTTATTTTAGTTGTATTCTGTTTTCTGTTATGTACTTACAACTGTGTTTCTTGTATTCTAGGAAATTCAGGACAGGATTCGAATTATAGAGCTCTACGCTAAAGACCGTCAGTTTGCAGAGTTTGTGAGGCAGCATCAAATGTGAGTGAAATGGCTTGTGGTGGGTAGTTTACTCCTTTGATGTTTTCTTGTGACCTTTACTACATTCCTGTATGCTTCATATTTATCACTGTATTCCCAAAGTTAATGGCTGTGAGAGAACTTACATTAATTTAGGTCCCCGAAAGCACAGACAGAACTTTATTAACTCTTCTAGTGTAATTAGTATACTCCAGTGTAGCACCTACTGTAACAGGAAGCTTACAATTCAAACAAGTAACCAAGCTGAGCTGTGTGTTTTGATGAAAGCTAACCATAAAAAAAGCCATCAAGGAATTAATTATGAGCATACACACTCATGAACTGTACTCTCACTGGAGCCAGCAGCAAACTGCAGCTACCTGGGTTAGTTTGAAAGCTAGTGTAGTACAATTCCTACTAAAAATAGGTACAGTAGTAAAAATCTTTGTGTTCCAAGATCATCATCAACTACACTTTCAATTAAAAAAAAAATAAAAGTAACAGCAGTTCACATTTTTCCATGTCAGTTGTTCATTTTCTCATCTTGAAAAGGAGCAGCCTCTAAATTTTCCACAGCTGGAAAGTAGTAAGGGCTGCCTCATATAAGCCTTGAATCCAGTGTTTGAAAGGGACTAACTTCATCATTGCTTCTCTGTTTTTCATTTCAGGAAGCTGCTTTAAGGAAAAAAGAAACCAGTAGAACACATGTGGGAGATCAAGACTACCTTGTTGCCACAGCAATGGGCTCCGACGTAACTGCCAAGTTACTTATAGTCTTAACATTGCATGGATGGATACAGATGTTTTCTAAATGAATGGCTAAAATGTACAGATGTCTGTTTGTCTCTGTTGCTTCAGGCTTTTTTTTTTGTGTAAAGTGAAGTTTTTTTAAGAGGTGATCAGAAGTGGCAGAGGTTATGAAAGTTCATATTTCTTTAACTCTGAAACAGACAGTGAAAGCTTGAATACCAAGGCAAAAAAATCTCAGGTAAGGAAGACACATGCACAATCGAAATAAAAGGCACATTTTAAATCCATTTCTGGCACTTATCCCCTCACTGGAGGCTACTGCAGCAATCTCACAGGTATAAAGTGCTAGTGGAAAGACTTGGTTTGCATGCAACTGATTTGTAGGGAAGAACTGTTGTGCTAGAGTTACATAAGCATTATTTTAAAGCATTCTCCTTGTAAACACAAATGTAACCTCACTGGAGAAATTCTTTTGTACAGATGCCTAGTGTAAAATTTTGCCACCTGGCATTAGCAAAATAGAACATAGCACTGAGCCTGCAGGCTCCCTAAAGGCTCTCCAATTGTCAGCATCACTGCTGCCTGCCAGAGAGCCCGTGGGGTGGCTCGGGGTGGTGGGACAGCACTTCTGCAGTGCAGCAAAGTGATTTAAAGCCAGGCTGGCTGGTTCTCCAGCTGTTCCTGGCACACACACAGGCTGGGCATAGAAGGGCTTCTTTTGTACAGATTTTCTGTGAAGCTTAAGTGACTAACATCGACTTTTTTATGTAGACTGTTTGATATTTTATAAGTTAATACCCATTATTTATTTGTTGTTTATTTCCTTATGAGCTTATTTTCATTGTGGATTGAATGGTTGAAATAGAAAGATGAATAGTGTAATGATGAAATACTACAGTGGCATTTGTGCCCACACTTTCTAAAAATCTGTATTTAGTGTTTATTCAATGTTGAATTCAGCCAACTAATATTTCAGTTTTCTCTACTGAACTGGGCAAGAGCCTGCCATGAACTCTGTTTCAAAATCAGACTGTGGTACTTTTGCATACATATTTGATAGATCACAGCACTTTCTTTTGGGGAAAGGGTAAAAAAAAAAGATTATTCTTGGCTTAGTGAAAGTCAGTGTAGAATTCCTTAAACAGAAGTAGTCAGCCTGAAGCACTTGAAAACAGCTGAACTGAGATGGGGACCTCCAAGATACAGACACAGTTTTATCTTCAAGTTAGGGTTCTGACTACACCCCAAGGTTTGTTGGGACTCTGTCCAGTCACCCTGTCTCTTGTTTAAGGCACTAGCATAGCTGTCAGGGTGAGGGCACTGATAGTCCCACATTAGTTTCTGCTAGGAAACAAGGCCAAGTTGTTATTTCTACACTAGTTCTCGGCCCACAAGTGCCAACAGCCACCTGATGCTTTTTAGATTTAAGGGATAGTGAGAATTACTTACTTGCTCTATGCAGCTTAGCTGAACAGGTGAACATTTCAATGCCATTCTCCTACGTGTTCTGGAGAACCTCACTGGATCACTTGTGTAGTGTCTTCTTGCCTTGAGTGGCAGGGAATGGGTGTCAGAGTCACACATCTGTCAAAGAAATGCTTACAGAAACCACCCTAAGCCCAAGCAGCTCAGGACTGCAGGAAGCAACATGGTGCTGCTGAACACTGTTGTGCAACCAGACGTTGCTGGGTGACCCAAGGGCTCTCAGAGCAGCTGGTCCCCAGTTCCTGAGGCACAGCCCCCTCCCTCCTGCCCCTGCAGCAGCACGGCTGAGCCACCCTGCTCCACCAGGGCCTTGTGATCGTGGTAACTGTACAATGTGTAGAGAAGTTCTGGGCTCAGGGTAGGCATCACCTGGTGACCTGTTTCTGTGCTGCTCCTGCTGAGAACTGCAGTGGATGGCAGCTGGGATCAAGCACATCTTAAAAGTATTCTTCTATTTGCTGTGCACAGGCTCAGGGGAGTCTTGGTTACACTGAGCTTGAAGTATTTCAGTGTATATACAGTGAATCTTTTCTTTGTGTGTGTGTATACATATGAACATAATGGTATCTTATTTTCATTACAATAAAATCGTTTCCAAAATACTTTTTCTAGAAAATTCATGTGGAGACTATGAGGTTGATATGAAGGGATAAAGGTACCTTAGCCATGATGATCTGTGCATGTGGGATCAGAAAGTTTGGGTTCTTTTTAAATAGAGCTGGTGAAGCTGTTTAACTCCTTTGCTAACAAGAAAGCCACATGTAGATCATTACCACATGTAAGGCTATAGTCTAAAAATTCATGTTGGAAAGCACATAATTGAGTGCTTCATTTTCAGTTAAGCTCTTTGATCATTTTGAATTTTTTTTTTTTTTTTAATTAAAGAGCAAAAATATGTTGTTACCTAAGTGATCTTGAAACAAAAACACCACTCCCCAAGAAGGACTTAAGGAACAAACTTACTTCACTACTTTCCCAATCCAAGGCAGAGGTAGAATCCTACCATGGCTGGAAATTCAAGCAGACAACAAGCATTCAGAGCTGCAGGACTGAGAGCATTTCAGGAACCGTGTGCTTGCCTTTGATTTGGCCAGAGCCTTGCCCAGCAAGAGCTACTTGGTTACTCCATCTCTCTCAGCTATTCTGTTGTGCTCTGGTCTGTGAGCTTCACGTGCTACCAGGTAAAAATTTGGTTCCAGAAAACAGATTTCTTGAGGACTTCAGAAATAGCTGAAATGACAGTTTTCTCCTCTCTCCTCCAAAACAAGGAAGCATGAATAAGGTTGAAGCATGAATTTAAGAACTTACAGTTGAATTGCTATAATGAAAAAATACCTTTAACAATCAAGACTGCTTCACGTGCTACCAGGTAAAAATTTGGTTCCAGAAAACAGATTTCTTGAGGACTTCAGAAATAGCTGAAATGACAGTTTTCTCCTCTCTCCTCCAAAACAAGGAAGCATGAATAAGGTTCAGATATTTAAGAACTTACAGTTGAATTGCTAAAATGAAAAAATACCTTTAACAATCAAGACTCTCACTCACATTCCTCATCAGACCTGCTGGAGTTGGTCCTTGTTGTGAAAGGAGCCTGAGAGGACTCTGAGCACTCTCCCACATGGAGTCTGTGCACCTCAGGGACAGTCATCTCCTCCTATTAAAATACAAAGCAAAAATATTCACCAATACCTATGGGTCTGTCTGTAAGCACTGTAGGACAGACACAAACTGGCTCTGTACAGCATAGGAAATGGGATGGGGCATTGTTACTATTTAAAGATCAGTGGAAAACACACAGGAATTTCGTGGCACTCTGTTTACTTGAAGTGCACTAAAACACTAGCAGCATTTCTGTCTTATCTTTCTGCTGCTTGATCCAGTTTGCAAAGAGGAGGTTGTGTTCTACATCACATCCCTCTATTTGCTTTGGTTTCTCAACTGAGAAGCAAAAAAATCCAAATATATTTTTGGGCCAGGAAAGGAAATATTTTCATTTGTCAGCCCAAGCAGGAAAGTTTTGGTTTTGCCACATTGAACACTACTTAGCTCTCCTACTCCAGGCTATTAGTGATACCCAGGAATTTTAGGTGAGCTGCTGTCCTCTTGGACTATTACCTGTGCTGCTTCTCAGCCTCCATGCTAGGTCACCCACTGCACTTAGCAGTGGGAAACACACTCAGAGCAGGCAGCTCTGCTTGGAGGGTGACAGCAGGACTGAAATGACAGCTTGCCTAGAAGAAGCCAGCTGAGCACCACCTCAAAACTCATGCTTTTAGTTTTCCTGTGCAATTCAACACAAAACCAGATTTTGACTCATTTGTTTCAGGATGAAAAATACCCTCAGTACTGGAAATTTCAGGGATGCATGCCACTTTATTATTTTTAAAATCCATTCAACTGTCAGCACATCTAAGGATCTATGTTTCTATAATAAATACACATTGGAGTAAACTACACTTAAAGCCTGACCTTTTATAAGGGAGTTGCCCCTCACCAGTTCCCATCTATACAACCAAAACAACAAAAAAATCCCATCTTGAATAATTGGAGGTTGAAATGTTATCCAAAAGTCTCCTATTAAACCCAAATCAGAGCTAGTGCTAACTGGAGTTGTGAATGCATCTCCACAGCTGATGACCAGATGGGGAAACTATGCCTTGCTGGAAAGGCTGACGTAGCTAGAACAGAAAAGAAAGCAGAACAAGAATGGATAAGGCCATACATCAAAACTGGGTGCAGTATGTGGATGGATAGAAGGGGGCAAGAGAGGAGGCACTCTCCAGACTCTCAGGACTGAGCATAGCAGCAGTCCCAAGAGTGACAGACCTCCATCTACTCATGGGAGGCAGCTGCAGGGATAGTCACTCAGCTCCATCTAAAGAGGATTGATTACACACTGATTTCATGGTTTCTCACCCCAGGAAGGGAAGGGATTCCAGGAAGGGAAGGGGATCCAAAGCACTTCTAGCAGCAGTGCAGAGCTGGTGTCTCCCAGCATGACCTACAGGTAACTGCTTGGCTGCAATTCCAGTCATCTGCTCAGGATTAAAAACCCAAAACAAATCAAAACAACCACTGACAAAATAGTAATAATAATAATAATATTGTTTTAGGGTTGGCTTTGTGTACCTGCTTTAAAAACAGAAGAACAACCAAACCCACACTGAAATACCCTCCCAAGGCTTGCAATGAAAATGAGTGGGAGCCTCACACATGCAGAGACTGAACTTCCAAGAGAATCAAATCTTTTGCATGATGCATAATAGCTCCTGAGGGGACACATCCTGTCTAATGAAACAGTGAATGCACCAAGGGAACAACCAGTGAGTAGGTGACTTAAGAGTAAAGTTGACTGTATGTGTTTTGAGGCCATCTCACAGCACACCACACGACTCCACTCCAAAGGGCAAAGCATATAAGAGCTTTACACCTACCTGCCAAGAAAAATGGGAAATGGAATCTGCTGGTGAGGCATTTGAAGCAGAGAACATGTCTGCAGTTTGCAGGCAGCACAAACCAGTCTCTAAAAAGGAATCATTTATCCTTGAAAGAAGGAAGAAGGTCAAGTTAGGAGCAGCAAAGTAAAATACAAGCTATATATATATATTTTTTTTTCCTATACAAGGAAGAGGAGAAACATTCCATAATCACTATAGTTTATATATGCTCAAATCAATAAGCTTCTCCTGGCTAAGCATCCTTAATATTGTTTCATGGAGAGTAGAACAGAACTCTGTTTTGCCCAGC